TTAGAAATAAAAAAATAAAATAATTTATAAAGGTATTATTTTTGATAAATAGAGTGAAAAAAAAATGAATTGATAAAAAAAATAAATAAATTTAACTAACTAAAAGATATACCTAACTAATATTTTTCATTTTTCTACAGTTCTATTTTCTTTTATAAATAAATTTTATAAAGAATAAAATAAATAAATTTAACTAACTAACTAAATAATGTGCCTAATATTTTTGATTTTATTCAAATAAATCTATTATCTTTTTTTAATTATAAAATTAATAAAATATAAAATTAAATAAATTAATTTATGAATCAAATAAAATTATGCATTCCACTTTTTGAAGTAAAGTCTTCATTTATTAATATAAAATAATATGTAAATTAATCTAAATTTATTTGTTTATGACTGATGAAGGGTAATTCTATTTTCTTTTATAAACATAGAAATACAAAAATTAATTAAATCTTTTCTCAAATTATTTTTTCTATATAATTAATTGATTGATTGAAAAAGATCAAATAAATTTAATTACTATAATTATTAATTTCATAAATATAAATCAATAAATCGAGTTTTGACCAAGATAAGATAAAAATAAATGAATTAATTAAATTACAGTGATTTAGGTAATTAAACAGATTATTTAAAAGAAGAATTTCCAAAATAAATAAATCTTCAGAAAAGAAATTGGTAGAACTTCATATCAAAGGCCATTGTTTTTCTTCTTGTCTTTTTTACTTACATTTAATTTTACATCCAAATAATATTGATAATTAAGGTAATTAGTTAGTTTATTATTCTATTTTAATTTCTTTTGTTTCAATTATATTTTAATACTAAATTTTAACTTAATTAGGATTTTGCTTATATCTATCATTATAAAACATTATGGGTATACCTTGCTTTATTGCTTATCTATTTAATTTATTACAGAGATAAAACATAAATTACACTTAAACTTCGTATATTATTTAGTCTTCCAGGTGTTGTTTCTTTACAAGAATACTTCAATCATGATATTAAATTTAGTTTCTTTGATAAAATGTTTTTTAGAAATATACTGTTAAATATTTTAATCATTTATTAGAATATTTTTTTGGAATAAAATACTTTGCTATTAATTTCTACTTCATGGTTGTATATTTAAATGTATTTTAGATACAGAGACCCATCAAAAAATTTAGATAATTAAATACTTTAAGATTTGATATAAGAAAACTTTAAATAAATGATTGATATCATCTATCCTTTAGCTGATTCTTTCTTATGGTCATAAATACTATAAGATATTGTTAATGGAAAATAAGAGATAACCAATTTTTGTTATTAATATAGCTATTATTAAGTTAGAATTCCTTGCCTTCAAATAACTTTTTTTTTAATATATAAATACAGTAAATCTTAATTTTTGCTTCTAAGGAGTGAAAGAATATCTGAGCTAGGAATATTTTTTATTCCTAAAATCAAAGAATGTTCATATTAAATAAAAGAAGAATTAAATTAGCAAGTTAATAATACAGTTTTCTTTTAATATCAGTATCACTTATTATTCATAGATAGACTATATTAATTAATCCTTTTTTTTGTTTTAGCTTGTTAAAAGAATCATATTGAATATAAATTTGGTTTCATATTTTCTATATCCTTTAACATGTTCTGCTTACTTAAAAGTTTTAGGCAACTTAAATAACAAAAATTTGATTATTATCATTTAACTATGAAGGATTTTTCTCGATTAAATTAAATAGAGTGTTTAATTAAAGTAAAAAAAATATTCATTACTTTTGATTCGTTAGGCAAAGAAAAAGCGTTAGAAGTACTTACAAGCTAATTTAGTTAATCAGAAATCTTTATAACTAATAAACATTTTGAATGTTATAGAACATTCAATTAAAATACTTCATAATAGACAATAACTTTCTATGAAAATATAAATTATGAAAAAGACTAATAAAATTTTGAAATCTCAAACAGTTTGAATGAATAAATTAGTTAAATTGAATTTTATGCTCCATTTTTATCTTAAAATTAATTAATTAGACCATAATATGCTTATATTGAAATATTTCGTGCTTTATTGAATACTAAATATTTTATTGAAATTTAAGTACAAGGTAATAAAACACATTTAGGTTAATTTAACAAATTTTAATAAAAATACTATGATTAGATGTTTATTGCTTTAAACAAAAGTGTTCTTTTGTAAATTCTTTGCTTTTATAACTAGATAAATAATTTAACGATAAATCCTAATATGGCATTTTATGATTTATTTGAAAATTTAGTATGAAATTAATTTTAGTTATGCATATTTTATTTTGATGTATTTTTAAATAAAACATTTTTCTATTATCTATGTATCAAACTTTCATTCTTTTTCTTTTGAATTTTAGATACCTTTTTTAAATGTTTATTAATTTGTTAAAATTATAAAGATTATAAAGTAATAAAATACAAAATTTAACTATTTTAAATAAAAATACTACGATTATATTTTTGTTACATAAATTATTATTTTGTAAATTATTAGTTTTTATGACTAGATTTTATATTTAATATACTAACTAATATTATTTATTATAATTTATATGAAAATTTAATATGAAATTATTTATTTTTTAAAATATATAGTGAAATAGCAACTCTATCCAAACAATACCATCTCAAAGGTTCATTCTCAACCTAAAAAAAACTCAAAATTTTGACTCTGTTCTCGGATCTCGGACAGATTCTTTTATCGAGAAATTATGGTATTTTTCAGTTTCTTTTTAGAAATTATAAAAATAAGATAATTTATAAAGTTATTTTGTTTGATAAATAAAGTGAAAAAAAATGAATTGATAAAATAAATAAATAAATAAATTTATCTAACTAAAAGATATGCCTAACTAATATTTTTCATTTTGCTACAATTCAATTTTCTTTTATAAATAAATTTTATAAAGAATAAAATAAATAAATTTAATTAACTAACTAACTAAATGATGTGACTTATATTTTAGATTTTCTACAATTCTATTTTCATTTTTAAAATAATTAATAAAAGATAAAATCAAATAAATTAATTTATGAATAAAATAAAATTATGCATTCCACTTTTTGGAGTTTTGTCTTCATTTATTAAAATAAAATAATATGTAAATTAATCTAAATTTATTTGTTTATGACTGATTAAGGACAATTCTATTTTCTTTTATAAACAAAATTATTAAAGTATAGAAAAATAATAATTAATTAAATCTTTTCTCAAATTATTTTTTCTATATAATTAATAGATTGAAAAAGATCAAATTTAATTACTCTAATTATTATAATTATTAATTTTTTAATATAAATCAATAAATCGTAATTTAATCAAAATAAGATAAAAATGAATTAATTAAATCAAAGGAACTTAAATTAACTAAATTAAATTGATTTAGATAATGAAACAGATTATTTAATTGAAGAATTTCCAAAATAAATAAATCTTTAGAAAAGAAATTGGTAGAGCTTCATATCAAAGACCATTGTTTTTCTTCTTGTCTTTTTTACTTACATTTAATTTTACATCCAAATAATATTGATAATTAAGGTAATTAGTTAGTTTATTATTCTATTTTAATTTCTCTTATCTCAATTATATTTTAATACTAAATTTTAACTTAATTAGGATTTTGCTTATATCTATCATTATAAAGCATTATGGGTATACCTTTCTTTATTGCTTATCTATTTAATTTATTACAGAGATAAAACATAAATTACACTTAAAATTCGTATATTATTTAGTCTTCCAGGTGTTGTTTCTTTGCAAGAATATTTAAATCATGATATTAAATTTAGCTTCTTTGATAAAATGTTTATTGGAAATTTTATTTTAAATGCTTTAATCATCTATTAGAATATCATTTTGGTTCAAAATGCTTTACTATAAATTTCTACTTCATGGTTGTATGTTTAAATGTATTTTAGATACAGAGACCCATCAAAAAATTTAGATAATTTAATACTTTAAGATTTGATATAAGAAAATTTTAAATAAATGATTGATATTATCTATCGTTTAGCTGATTCTTTCTTCCATTCATAAATATTATAAGATACTGTTAATGGAAAATAAGAGATAATCAATTTTGGTTATTATAACAGCTGTAGTAAAGTTAGAATTGCTTACCTTCTCTTTTCTTTTAGTTTTATATATAAATACAATAAATCTTAATTTATGTATTTAGGGTCTTAAAGAATTTCTGAGCTAGAAATATTTTTTATTCCTAAAATCAAAGAATGTTCATATTAAATAAAAGAAGAATTAAATTAATAAGTTTAAAATACAGTTTCCTTTTAATATCAGTATCACTTATTATTCATAGATAGACTATATTAATTAATCTTTTTTTTTGTTTTAGCTTGTTAAAAGAATCATGTTGAATATAAATTTGGTTTCATATTTTCTATATCCTTTAACATGTTCTGCTTACTAAAAAGTTTTAGGCAACTTAAATAACAAAAATTTGATTTTTATCATTTAACTATGAAGGATTTTTCTCGATTAAATTAAATAGAGTGTTTAAATAAAGTAAAAAAAATATTCATTACTTTTGATTAGTTAGGCAAAGAAAAAGCGTTAGAAGTACTTACAAGCTAATTTAGTTAATCAGAAATCTTTATAACTAATAAACATTTTGAATGCTATAGAACATTCAATTAAAATAATTTATAATAGACAATAATTTTCTATGAAAATAAAAATTATTAAAAAGACTAGTAAAATTTTGAAATCTCAAACAGTTTGAATGAATAAATTAGTTAAATTGAATTTTATGCTCCATTTTTATCTTAAAATTAATTAATTAGACCATAATATGCTTATATTGAAATATTTCGTGCTTTATTGAATACTAAATATTTTATTGAAATTTAAGTACAAGGTTATAAAACACATTTAGGTTAATTTAACGAATTTTAATAAAAATACTATGATTAGATGTTTATTGCTTTAAACAAAAGTGTTCTTTTGTAAATTCTTTGCTTTTATTAATAGATAAAGGATTTAACGATAAATCCTAATATGGTATTTTATGATTTATTTGAAAATTTAGCATGAAATTAATTTTAGCTATGCATATTTTATTTAGATGTATTATAAAATAAAACTTTTATTTATTTATTTATTTATTTATTATTTATTATTTATTTATTTATTTATTTATTTATTTATTTATTTATTTATCTATCTATAACCCTGCAAAAAATGATAGTCGGGTATCTATAAATATATGTTTATAGGAATGGTAGCAAGATAGAATCAATAAAAATATTAAATATAATAACTAATTTATCAATAAATCAATAATTCTGATATATTTTATTTAATTATTTTTCTTTTTATTTTCTTTTATTAATAAAATTATTCAAATATAATTTGATCAAATAATTCTTTCTTTTCTATATTTTTAAAACTAATTATTTATTCAAAAAGGTAATATTTTTTTTACAATCCAACGATATAATTTTTATTTATGATTTAATAATATAAATTGTTGCACCAAAAAAACTAAAAAATGTTTATTTATTGAATTAAGTTAAGATAACATCAATATTTTAGAAGAAATAGAAACAGATTTTGATAGAAACAACTCAAATTACTTTTAGAAAAATATAAAAATAATTTGGAGACCTATATATATATATACCAAAAATAATTGGTTTTCTTCTTATCTTTTTTATCTAAATTTAGCTTTCTATCCAAAGGGCTTTTATTATTTGAGTAATTAATTTATTAACCAATAATTTTTGATTTATTTTGTTTATATCCTTTTTATTTTCTTTTATAAGCAAGACTATTAAAATTATTTATTCATAAAGGGTGTAATCCAAATGATATAATTTTTATGATTTTTGCATCAACCTAAAAAAAAAAGTGTAAATGAATTAAGAAGAAGAAGTGGAAACAGATTTTAATAGAAATAACTAAAATTTATTTAATAAAATATATAAGAAATTTGGAGATTTATATATCAAAAACAATCGTTTTTCTTCTTTCTTATCTTTTTTACCTAAATCTAGTTTTTAATCCAAATAGTTTTGATTATTTAAGTTATTAATTAATTTATCAATCAGAAATATCTGATTTATTTTATTTTATTTATCTTTCTTTTTATTTTCTTTTATAAGTAAGATAATTAAAAATGTATATAGAAAAAAGAAGTAAATCAAATTATTCTTTGATAGCATAATTATTTGTTCAAAAAGGCTATATTCAATAATCCAAATGATATAATTATTATTATTTAATAAAATAAATTGATGCGGAAAACTAAAAAAAAATAAGGTTAAATGATTTAATTTAGTAAAGATAACTTCAATATATTAGAAGAAAAAGAAGAAATAGAAACAGATTTTGAAAGAAATAACTCGAATTGCTAAAATAAAAAAATAAGAAATTTGGAGAGCTTTCTATCAAAAACAATAGTTTTCCTTCTTCTCTTTTTTACCTAAATTTAGTTTTACATCCAAATTGTTTTGATTATTTAAGTAATTCATTATTCAAAACGATTTTTTGAAATATTCTTATATTATTTTACATTATTTTCAAAATTTCAAAAAAATGTTTTTAATTAAATTATTTCTTAATAAAAAAATGTTTATGTTAAAAATAACATTTAAATGATAATTTTTAATTAACTAACTAAATTTAATAGGATTTGCGGTCTATTTACTTGTAAAAATATTTTTGGGTATATCTTGCTATCCTGTTTATCTATTTAATTGTATGCATTGATACAAAATAAAATAGTTTCATACTTAGTATCTTATTTAGTCTCCCTGGTGCAACTTCTCTGCAAGAATATTTAACTCATGATATAAAATTTAGCTTCTTTAAATTAATGTTTTATAGAGATATAATATTGACTATTTTGATCATTTATCAATATTTATTTTTGGAATACACTTTTTTGCTGCAAATTTCTATATCTTGGCTTTACGTTTAATTATATTTTAGATTCAGAGATCAATCTTCAAATTTAGATAATTAAACTCTTAAAGATTTGATACGATAAAATCTTAAATAAACTTCTGAAATTATCTACCCTTTGGGTGATTCTATACTTTTTTCATATTTCCTATAACAGGAAATAGTGATATGGTGCTTTCATACAAATTTTACTATGACAAAGCACTTAATTGCAACAGGAAGTGTTCTCATAATTTACGAAAAAAAGAAATAATGCCACATAAAGTCAAATCATCGATATTAATGGTTTTTTGTAATTCCTATAATCTAATAAGCTTCAGATAAAAGCTTAAAAACTCTTAAGAATTACTTGATGATGCAGTATACTTCAAGTACAAGTATCAGATCTTATTTGTAGATAGATTGCTTTTATTGATGGAAGTTTTATTGATTATAATTTTCGAAAATAATAGACTTAATTATAACTTTAGCTTGATGTTTTCAATAATAATTAATATAGTTGGCTTGTTTATGAGTTTATGGTCTTTAAAATAACAAAAATTGGATTAAAAATCAGAATTTTACCATATTTCTTTGTAGGATATTTCTCGACTGGAATAAATAGAGTGTTTAAATAAAGTAAAGAAAATTTTCATAACTTTTGATTCATTAAGCAAGCAGAAAGCCTTAGAGATACTTACAAGCTAATTTATGTAATCAGAAATATTTATTACAAATAAAAACTTTGAATGGAAAAGAACATTTAATTAGAATAACTAATATTAGACTTTAACTTTTTGTGATAATAAAAATGACCAATAAGATAAATTGATTTTTGAAATTTCAAATGTAATCAATGATTAAATTAACTAAATTGATGTCTATGCTCCGATTTTATCTTTAGATCAATCAGAAATAAGTAAACAAGCATACTTAGATATGTTTCGTTTTCTATCAAATAGCAAGTATTTAATTGAAATTAAAGTACTTGAAAATAAGATGCCTTTAGGCTAATTTTTTTATTTCAAGTATACTTACTACGATTAGATGTTCGTTGAGTAAATTAAAAGAACCTTTTTATAAATAATTTGTTTCGAAGAGTAGACAAAGATATTGTCAATTAACCCTTAAATGGTATTTTACGATTTGTTTGAAGATTAAATATGAAAATTAATTTTAATTAAGTATAAAAATATGTATTTTATATTCATTCAAGAATGTTGTTAATTCATCTTTTTTTCTTCATTCTTATGAATTTTCATATAATTAATTTTTTATTTAAATTAGTATTATTGTTATTCTCTGATAATTATTTCCCTAGTAGAATAAATAAATAAATATTTAGTAGAATAATAAATAAATAAATATTATTTTAAAAATTTAAATAATATAAAAAGGTATTGATCGAAATAGGTTTTGAACCTGAATTAACAAACATAATAAAAAAGTTTTAATTTGAAAAAAGTTTTGTTTCTGTTTGTATTTTGATTATTTTTGTAAAATATAAGAAATAAATCAAATATAAAGAAAATAATTAAATAATTAAGATTTTGAAAAAAAAAATATTCATAAGGAATATAAAAATTATTTGAAATATCACAAATCATTATATCATGATCCGTGATATTACAAATTCAGGGATAGCTATATTCATTACATACAGCAAGTTTTTGTGATGATTAAATTGATGAAAAAACTGTTATGATTTATCATTAACAAGCTATTTTGACTTTTTTTAAATAATAAAATGTTCGCAGTATCCATTCATTATTGGTCTTTTAAATCAATAAAATTTCACTTATTTGTTTCGAAATTAATTTTTTTGGCCTTATTAAAGAAGCTTAGCATGTTCTACTTACTCTAATATTTAACTTTAATTGTCCTTAATTTTTATTTTTACATTGATTTTTGAATTTAATAATAATTTTATTAAAATTTTATATTTTTAAATTAAAACTAATCAATTAACTTTCAAGATAATTTATTTATTTTTTTTAATTCAACATCATCCAAGAAATAGGGAAAACAAACTAAAACTCCAAAATATAAGCATTTATTTACTTAGTACTTTACGAATATTAAAAAATTTTTAGAAGAGCGCTGGGATATCTAGAATATATCGTAAAACTTGCCCAAAGAAAGCTGACAATCAATCAATGATTAAATAACAAAAAAATAGATAAATAAATATGATTTTTTATTTAAATTAATTAAAAATATTAAAATTTATTTTTAAAAATAAAATTAGAACAAAATTAATAAAAATAAATATTTTAACTTCATTATAAATTATATTAAACTAATTTAGAAATTTTTGGAATATCAGTTTGAATTGTTTATTCTGCTTACTGATCTTGTAAATTCTATCTAAAATTAATGATTAATAATGTTTATTTTACTAAGCTAAATATTATTTTACTGAATATTAAGTGACAACACTGTCAAATTTTGGCAGTTTCTTAATAGCCTTCCTATAGTTTATACTCCTACACTTCCTATGCTGTTTGAGCTTTTTAATTAATTTTTAAAAACTAATTATTATATTTAATTTAAATATATCAAAATACCTTAAATCAAGTACCAAAGTTTTTAAGCATTTACAAGATTATATTGAAGAGATTAAATTTAAAGAGCCTTGTTAATTAATCAAATTTTAACTTTTAATTATTAATTTTAAATATTTTAATTAAATTAGTTTTAAATAAATTATGATTTACCTTAAATTTAGTTTAATAGACTAAAGACTTTCAAACTACTATAGAGATTATCCTAGATCAGTGACTCCAGTATCGCTTATCTTATTGAAGCTAATAAAAAATTAAAAAAAATAACACAATAGCTAAAATTATAATTAATTATTTAATTAATTTTGATGAAAATATTTTATATAAAATACCTTAAAAAAAGCATCAATTCCTCTAAATTTTTAAAAGATCTCAATGATTGACTTATTGATTATGCACAAAGGTCATCAATTAAATTAGAACTTTTCAATAAAAGATTTAATCAATATCATAAAATAATAACAATTAATTGCAAATAAATTGTATTTCAAAATCATAGAAAAACAAAATAAATCAATCATACTTTAATTTAAGTTCTAAAAATTTCATATTATTTCTTACTTGAGCTGAATCGAACCATGAAAAAGTTCCTTCTCCCAATTCAAGCGAGCTTTTATAAATTAATAAATTTTTTTAAAAAATGATAAAATGCTAAAAGAAATATTTACCCTAAATTCAAAGCTAATTGAGATAAATTTTGATTTTAATTTAAGCTATTAAATATTTAAGATCCAGTTTTGCTTCCTATTTTTTTAATTTACCTTTTCAAATAAATAAAATTTAAAATTAAACCATTTTTTTGATTGAATTTTATAATAAAGATAATGAAAGAATAAATACTCTAAATGTAGTTCCAATTAAGATAAATGATTGCTTTTTCCTAGACAAAAGGCTAGATTTGCTGCACTAGCATCAGTTATATTATTTTAGCTATTCATAATAACAAAGAAATATTTAAAAAATTAAATTACAAATTGATTACCTTAAGTCTAATACCAAATAATTGATGTTAGTAGCACTCAAAAGAGTATTTCCCATTTGATTTACACCAGAATCTTCAAGAGAAGTTTATCTTATATACAAAATTATTTACCAAATAATTTTACATAAAATAATTATTACCTTAAATAAAGTTTTAAAACCTTCAAATTTTTATTTTAAATTACTTAAAGTAACAAATCGGAATTACCAATTCCACAGTAGCTATTTAATTTTAAATATTTAAATTGAATAAACTTAACAAATTTAAGTATATTTTACTTCATCGAAAGTTCTAATTATGTTAAATTTTAACATCTACCTAAACTGATTCCTAGTTAAGATGCTCCATTTTCATTGATGTAGTTTGAACTATTAAATTTGAAAACTTTGTATTAAATTATATTTAATATGAAGCAAAAATAAACTTTAAAATTAATTAGAGCTTTTTGAGATTAGTACAGCATAGAAGAGACTATCCTAAATTAGAAATACCCTATGACATTATTTAATTTGTGCTATTAAAAATAAAATAAATTAAATTAAATTATTCATTTAGTTAATTTAATCACCTCAGATTTAGAGTTAAATTTTCTAAATTGATACAATTTGATAATCCTTCTCCTATTTTTGATATTCCCTGAGTGCTTATATTGCAAGAACTTGATAAATTAAACAATAAAAATATTTGAATATTATCTCTTATTTATTTAGTCTTACATCAAACTGATAAACAAATTTTCAGTTTTTTTACATTTAGAAATGGATTTACTCAAATCGCATTAAATTTAGTCCTTCATCTTAGAATAACTGTTGTAATTTTTAAAAGTAAAAATTTGCAATGAATAATTGAAATAAATAGATAGAATATATATATCTCTTTTTATAATCTAAAAAAATGGACAAATTTACTTAAAACTAAGAAATAAGTCTTTTTTACTTATTAAGTCTGCTTTAAGAAACTTCAAATATTAAAATAAATTAATTTTATAATTTTTCTCTTTTTTAAAAATAAAATACCTATTCCAAATTTAGGAATTACATATTTATAATATTATGTAATTCTATTTTTGAGCTTGATTTGTTGATGTGAATCCTAATTTTTTAATTAAATTTACTATTTTTAAAATAAAAGCTTTGTTATTTATTTCAAAATAAAATTATTAAACAAAATAATCAAAAAAATATTTAAATTTATTAAAAATTTTAATTATTTAAAATCTAGTCATATTTATTTTTCATGTTTTTATTAGAATTAAATTTAAATTGATTTTCAGAAAAAATTAAAAATTTAAGTTGAATAATTCAATCAAAAATAAAATATAATCTATTTGATCACAATATCATAGATTTAAATTCATAAAAACTCGAGGGTTAATTAGTTAATAAAATATTAATTACTTTATACTAGACTATAATATAAAAAAGCCATATTTAATGAACAATGATGGTATATTAAATAAAATATGATATAATTTATTTTTATTTCATTTAAAAAATTATTATTTTAATAATAAAAAATAAGAATTTTGTTAGAAAATATTTAGAAATAATCATGATAACTCAAATAAAATATTTCAAAATTTAATAATATTTTAAATTAATATAAAAACTGTTTAATTGTATTAGATTTTAAGAATCTTTATTGATGTATTTATTTTATATCAACATAAAAATTAACATAAATCCTATCAAATTCTTCTTGTTTTTGCAAAGGCTAAAAAAGCATTTGGCTCATAATAGTATCTGAAAGAGAATGCCATTAGAATAAAAAGCTTTATGATTAATAAGATTGCAATATTTCCACTAATTACGACACTTGAGATGAATAATTGTTAAGAGTCATCTTCTTAGTTATTATCAGTACAGTTTTTATATTGATTTGATATAGCCTTTTATTTTAAATACGAATTTAGTATTTTTAATATTTAAAATGTATTTTTTTACAAAAAGAATTTAAAGCAAAATAGCAACGCCTAATAATATGCACTAGCAGGTTAAATAAATTAAACTCCTCGACCATCCTTAATCTGTGTCATAGCGCTTTATATAAGATCTGAAGTCGAAAACAGCTAAATTATTCATTACATTAATTATAAATAAATTTCATCAATAATGATCTAAAATTTAATTTTAATGATTACCATTCAGCCCTACAATAACAATTTCAAAGATTATAAGTTGCTTAAAATGCGAGCAATTTGCATATTCAGTGTAACTATCAATTTTTGTAATAAAAACTATGAGAACAACGACAAAGAGTAAAAATCCCCATAATGACATCACCAAAAATGCAATTGGGGAAGAGTTAACCCAAAGAGGAGCTGATTAACCTCTAAATTCATCATTAGACTATCCAAAACCTTTATAAGTTTATTTACCCCAATCCCACTTGAGAATTTTGCGGATTTGTTTCATTCAGGAAGTATTTTATTGTTTTTTTAATGCTAAAAATAAAAATGATTTGTTAATAAATAATTCTATCTAATTTTTGAATTCGTTTTGAAGCAACAAAAGGAGATTTTCTTTTCTTTTTTTGTATAAAAATTTTAATTATTAAGAAACGTAAGACAACTAAACTAAAAAGCATCAAACAAAAAATGATCAATTAAAGTTAGAAATATCATTTAACAACAAAATATTTTAATTAAATTAAATTGAAAACAAATATAAAATTTTATACAAACTAAGAAATATATTGGAAATAATAATTAAATAATTAATTAATTTCACATAAACTCATTATAAACATATTATTGATTCTCGTTTTATCTATATGATTTAGGTGACACAGAAATACCATCAACAGCTTTTTCTATTTTCCAGCCTTTCGTTTAAAATAATTTAGAATTTAAATCAAAACAATTTATTTATTTTTTAAAGATAATTTGAATGAAATAAAACAATTTATTATAATTAAAGATAATTTAAAACAATTTAATTAAAAAATAACAATTCAAAAATGCAAATAAACGAATAAAAATTAATGTAAATTTTACCTCTTGAAAGTAATTTTTTAAGATTGTGTGCTTGAGATCCAATAATAACTTGGCTTGATTGTTCTTTCTTAATGTTTTCAAGAAGAATCTCATTAGCAGTGTCAATTACTTTCTGTAAATATTAAAGTAATTAAAAAAAACATTTAAAATATAAATAATTTACTTATGAGTTGGCCGCTAAGAGAGCTTAACGATAATTTAATCTGAGTCTATCATTTAATCCATAAATAAACCACTTAATTCCTTTATTATAAGGCTCAATGTTTTTATCAATCTTGGAGAACAAACTGATTTTAGCTTCTTTCAATTCTCTTTCTCTAAATAAAAATAATTCATTAATTCATTCATAAAATTTTTAACAAGATTAAGTAAGATAAATTTTTTTTACGTAAAGTCTTTATTTGTAATATATTGAATTGCTCTTTCGAATGTTTCATATCTTTAAACAGTGCTATGATCTCTATAAGAAAAGACTGAGAAACTACCATTCAAATCTATGTAACAGCCAGCATCAAAAACACCGTCAACACTTCTAATTTCTTCAAAATGAATACAATTTCTCATAATTTCACCTACTAAATGCATAACAGGAGTCTTTCCATCAATAACTTCTGGCATTTTAAAAGATTCCACAATGTAATTAGTATTAATAGGCAAAGGAATGAATGATCTGTTGTATTTCTCCTTGAATTCTTACATTTTTTCGCTCTCAATGATAATTGATTTATTGAAATCTTTAAAATTATCAAGTAAAAAACATTAAAAATCTGCTCAATTTAAAGATTAGAATGAAATTTATTAATAAATAAGCCATTTTTATACAATCAAAATAAAACAAAATTTACTTGGTTGATTGATTTTTATAGTGGATGATAGCAATTCAATTCTTTTTTATAAGTTTTTGTAGTTCTTTTTTTAGCTGTGAATTAAAATGCTCATTCTGTTCTGTAAATTTAACAAATTATTTGATTTATTTATTTTTATTTTTTTGTTAGAAAATTATTTTACTTTATTAATCATTTTTTGGTAAATGCATTCTAAGTAATAAGAAATTTTTTCTAACTCTTGCTTTAGAGAAGTTGTTTTGAGGACTTCAATAGCCAAACTACAAATGTCTTACGTTTTTTTCATTTTATCATTTAAAAAGAGAGCCCTGCTTAGACCTGAATTAGCATGAGCGATTGCGATGTCCATAGGCTTTTCTCCAAGATTGTTGGCATAAATACCAGCATAATATTACAACAATTCAGAAATTCTTGATAGATTTTTTAAATTGGGAGCTTTTTTATATCAAATTATTAATAAAAACAATTTATTTTTCAAAATTAAATCTTTACTAGAAAGTAAATCATTCAAAAGACTAAAACTCTATTCAATATATTTATCAAGGTATCCCACAGTCATTACCAATACTTTTTTAATTTGATCTTTGCCCTTAACATCTCTTTTTATTTTATAAATTGTTTATATAAAATTTGCAATTTCTTAAATGAATTTTTAAAAGAAATATTTTATAAATCTTATTAAAATTATTTATTTATTTATTTATTTTAAGAATTTTGTTTTAGTACCTGAAGATGTGAGACTCCATTTCGAATTTGGAAGTGTAGTTATCAATTAAAAAGTCCATTTAATTAGTTTGAAGTCCTTGTGAGCCTATGTGAGGGAAGACGATGCAAAAGAGCTCCAAAAAATGATGCAATTCAGGTTCTAAATCGGATATATCAAATTTAATTCTTACGTATGACATTCCATTTGTTTCTTAGTCAGTAAACCACACGTTAATTCCGTTTATTACTTGTTCTTCATAGTCGAACTTTTCAACTAAAGGGACTATGTCAGTAGTGTTTAGTGATGGCAATATAGAAACATCTTGCATTTTGCACATTTCAACAAAAACTTGCTCATTCTAATTTTAATAGTTTCATTTAGTAAAATTTATTTAAAAGGAAATCTTTACTTCTTTTTGCAAGAAATCAATGTCTTGAATTGTCATACTTTCTTGCACTGATTTGAGGTATTCTGTTTCCTCTATTTTAACGTAATCAGTAAAAAGATTATCAGGAGTAACAATTGTTCTTATTCCATGATTGTTATTCAAGAAGTACTTCTTAACTAATTACTAAATGAGCCCTTCGTCAATTTTTCTGCGTAGTTTCTCAAAACTTTCTTCCATTTTCAAAACAACAGTCGGATCCTTATCATGTATAATAAATGGAATCATATTCTAAAGTAAATTCAGACCAAAATCAGCCTTACCCTCTTTAGCATTTACTTCCATGTAATGAATAGCAAAATCAACCATTTAAACGCTATTTTATTATTTTCATTTAGAATTAAAATTATTTTTCCACTTTTTATCAATTTTTAAACTGAATTTTCACAAAATGAAATAAAATTAATTCATAAATTTTCAATGCTTATTTAAAAAAATAAAATTTTAGTTTTTACTCTAACCCGTTTTCAGAAATATCTTTCAAAATTTTCATGATTTTATCTCCCATTTGAATTAATTCAGATTTGTCATTGGAGACTTCTGCAAAGCCAAATGTAAAAGTAGCAATTCTATTTGTAATGTCGTATCCGTATCCAGGACAATATTTACTGGCTACTCCGCTTTGCAAGAATTCTTGGAAGAAAATGGACTAAGGCATTTCAAACAAACAGTAGCTTAATACACTCAAAGCGAGAGTATCGAAGGGATTGTCTATAATATCATTGCACATAAAAGTAATACCAATCGATCCTTAACTATTTGAAGGACAAGTAATCTCATTATCCTGAATATATTAAATCTACTCTGGCTATTTAAAAGTATGAACTATCTCTTTATACTCCTTTCCTTTCATCAAAACTTAATCAATAAACTCCAAGTGCTTTGTAAAATCCAAATCTCCATAAGAAAAGAAATTTGCATTGTTTGGACTGTAATACTTTTCATAATAATCAATCACTTCCTGATAAGATGCCTAAATTATTCCAATTATTTCTTATTCAAAATCAAACCAAAATTATTTCTTAAGAAAAACTAAAAATAAAATGAAAATTCTTCTCTCAAATTAAAATTTTATTTAATAAAATAAAATATTTTTTCTAATTTTAGAATTAAAATTTTGTTACATTTCTGATTTGCTAAACTGTTCCACTGCCTAAATTTGAATGATGACTGCCTTTGTATATCTTTTTTTAAATATTTGAGAGAAAAATGTGATCATGCATCTATTCATTATTGTACATTTCCTCGTAGGTCTTTCCTCTTAAAGAGATTGGAAGTTTTGGATTATTTTCTTCATCGTATTCTAATCTAACTCCTTCTTGCAAAAAGTCTAATCTTCTATTCAGAGGATAGAATACACTTTAAATGTATACGCCTAACAGGTTATAAAAATCTTTCTCGTTTGTTGTAGAAAATGGAAAAACTGTAAATTCAGGGCCTGTCCAAGGCTCGCTAAATGTGTTCATTGACCTTTTTTCTGCCATGTGTGAAAGAACTTCTTTAACAGGATACATTTCACTTCCAGACATCACCAATCTCTAAGTCATCAATGGAATTCCTATTTAAAAAAACACAAAAAATCATCTAAAACAAATCTAAATTCTATTATAAAGTAAAATTAAATTCGCTTTTCTATCCATCTTCAATGCTAAACTCCTTCCTTAAAATAGATCTTCTATTTAAAGCATGCTTTTGCTCATTTTATCAACGAATTTATTCTAATTAAATCTTAATTACTACTTTCTACCTTTATCGTTTTCTGGAGGTGTTCTCAGAATAATCGCAAAAGAGTTATTCATATCGCATGAATCTAAATGAATATATCTAGCTTGAGTCACTTTGTGTCTCAAAGCATATACTCTAATGTTGAATTCCTTTAAAAATGTTATTTCTTCTACATGGAAATTGTTAACAACTTGCCCCTTCTCGAGAGAATACTAAACTCTATGTTTTCCTCTAAAGAGCTTTTCAATAATCTCTGAGTCCTCAGGATTGAAAAATCTTGCTAACTCCGTGTTCCTGTAATTAGGAACAAAGCAAAATGATTTCCTAAACTATTTTATTTGCTATTTTACTACGCGCTTTAACATATTATTTGCTTTGGTTCCTATAAATATATTAATATCTAATTAATTAATAAATTTGCAATTTAATATCTTTTAATCAATCTTTATAATTAAAACTTTGTAGAAATTTCTTCATTTTGAATAAGATACTAATTAACTAACTAAATAAATAGTATAGCAATCAATCAAAAATACAAATTAAAGATAATTAATTACATTTATTTAATATGACCACAAATCTAGTAAAATAAATTGATATTTCATTTATTGTTTTTTATTTATTTATTTTCTATTTAATTGTGTTATTCTAACTTTAAACTTTTCTTCATGCTTTTAGATATTATATTTTTCTTTTTAAATTCTATTTTATTATTTTTTAATTTTCATTCATATTTCTTTAAATTACAAAGAAATTATAAATATGTTATTTAAGTTATTCTAAAATTTATTTACTATAATAAATTATTAGGATTGTGCTAAATTAAAAGATTTAATATTGGAATTTATAAAAATTTTTTCGATATTTAAAAAATTAAAGTAGAGTCAACTTTTTTGGAGTATCTTTAAAATTATTAAGGTATGTATTTCTTATTTTATTATTTTCTTAATATTTTTTTGATTTAGAGTTAGTGTTTGGTTTTTAAGAAAAGCTTTTGCTCATTTTAATTGTTTGAAAAATATAAAATTTATGTGATGTTTAAATTTAGTTTGCTCATTTCTTTTATTAATTTGTTATTAGGATTTTTTTGACAAAATTAAATTTCATCAAAAAGCATATTAAAATTAGTTAAAAATATGCTTTTAAATAGATTTAAAGCTAGCTAATAGTTTAAAGATAAGATTAGAGTATTTCCAAAATATATGGTTTATCTTTTAAAATTAATCGATTTTAACAAAATTTTAAAAGAGATATCTCATTGCATTAATAAAATAACTTTGTTTGGCTTTTAAGAATTGCTTTTGGTCATTTTAATTGTTTGAAAAATATAAAATTTATGAGATGTTTAAATTTAGTTTGCTAATTTCTTTTATTAATTTGTTATTAGGATTTTTTTGACAAAATTAAATTTCATCAAAAAATATGTTAAAAAAGTTAGAAATATGCTTTTAAATAGATTTAAAGTTAGCTAATAGTTTAAGAATAAGATTATAGTATTTCCAAAAAGTATGGTTTATCTCTTAAAATTAATCGATTTTAACAAAATTTTAAAGGAGATATCTCATTTTGTTAATAAAATAACTAGTATTTTTTAAATCGAATGAAATTATCTTATTAGAATTTAGACACTGGAATTCGATAACATCATTTAATAAATTTAGATTAATTTTGTTCTTTTGAATTTATTTTTTGATAGAATTAAAGCAATCGCCTTAAATTTTTATAATTAATTAACTTTTCATAAAATTTAATTTTCGATTTTCAATAAATGACTGAACTCATTTAAATTACAGACTTAGAACAAGTGATTTTTCATTATTAATTTTTGTTTATTAATTCCATTTTTTTAAATAAAAAGTTATTAAGCTCTGAAATATCATCTCGCACCACTCTTCTAATAAATCTTCAGTAAAAAAAATAAAATAATGTTTTCTTAACTAAATAAAGGCCTTTAATTACAAAAATTTAAAAAAGTTAGAAAGAATTCTAAGTATTTTGATGACTTGATTGCTTTATTTATTAACAAATAACACATATTTATTTACTATGATATATTAATTCATTAGATATTAATATTATCCTTAAGATTTACTTGTTTTATATTTACTTCTACTAACTTTTTCAAAACTAATTTCAATTATTTTTACAAAATGTAATAGTAATAAATAGATAGGAGAAAAGGGTTCTTCAGACTTGGGCATTGCTTTGGCAAAATCTAATAATCTTCTTAATTTAGTACTCCAACTGGCGTAATATTATCTGTTTTATTTAATTATTTTTAATACGATTTAAAATAATTAATTATCAAAAAAAATAAATATGAAAAAAATGCAAGATTTTTCATTCTTTTCGTTTTATTTGTAGATTAATTTTAATTATTTGCTTAACAAAATTAATAAATTTTTATTTTTTTCATTTTAATTATAAAATTTATACAAATTATAAAAAGAAATTCAATTGGCGCTAATGGTGGATCAAGCTTAGGCTCTGCTTTAGCAAAATGTGTTAATCTTGAAACTTTGACATTAGATTTGAGGTAAACATTTTTAATTAGATTTATTTCTATTAAAAACATGAAAAGATAGATAGATAGATAATATATTAAAAATATTTAGCTTTTTTTATTTTCAGAAGTGTAAAACTAGATTCTGTTGATTAACATAGATTTATTTATAAAGATTTTTGTCTTTTTCTTCAGCATTTAATTTATATCTAAATTTTCTATACTATCTTCTTTTGGAATATTTTTTCTAAAGCTTTTTCAAATTAAACTTATTATTTTATCAGAAAAAATCAATTAGGTCCAAAAACTGTCTTAGACTTAGGCTCTGCTTTAGCAAAGTGCTCTAATCTTACAATTTTGTCACTTGATCTCTCGTAAAAATATTTTCATTTATTTAATTATGTTTTTACAAAACAAAATCATAGAAAGTACTTAAAATACTAAGATGCTTTAATTTATTTAAAGGACCAATAATTATTTCTAGAGCTTACTTTCATAAAACTTTGGAATTTATCCTATTTTTATTTTTTTATTATTAATTTTTTATAGCTTCTTTCTAATATAAAATATTAATAAATAAGAGAAAACAAAATAGTTGACAAGGGCTCATCTGACTTGGTTTCTGCTTTAACAAAGTGCTCAAATCTCTCAACTTTAGAACTCTATCTTGAGTAAATTCATTTTAATATTTTTATTTTCGAAAGAAAAAAGTTTTTAAAAGACTTTTTTATTTGATTGCTTATTATTTTTAAAAGTAATTAATATATAAATCTAGTAGTATCTTTTCATTTTAATTTAAATATTTTTATATTTTTTATTTCTTTAGTTTTTTCTTCATTTACTTCTAATTAATCTTTCATTAAAATGAAAAAATGTTTTCTTGTAATACAAAAAGGAGCAATAAAATTGGAGATAAGGGAAGTTCAGACATAGGCTAAAATATATCGAAATGCCAAAAGCTCTAAAATTTGAAGCTTGCTCTTTCGTAAAAATAATTTATAATCATTTAACAATTTCATTCACTGTAGAATACCCTTAAAGATGCAAAAAAAGTCGGATTTTTTTTATTTTCTCAAAAAATGATGTTTTTAAAAATATCGGTAATAACAAAAAAACTACAGAATTCACCGATAAATTATTATATCTTATGTTATAATTGTTTTAAATATTTCAAAATTTTTGTGTTTGATTTTTTCTTATTTACATTTATAAATCTTTTTGTAATATTCGATATACATTCATTCAAAATTGTAAAAAGAGATAACAAAATTGGAGCTTCTGGAGCTTTAAATTTAGGTTCTGGTCTAGGAAAGTGCAAGAACCTGCAAATATTGACAATTGAAGTCAAGTAAAAAGAGTTTATTAACATTTATTTGTTTTATAAAAAATAAATTTGATAGTCAAAAAAACAAAAAAATGAAAGAAAAACCATTAAAAGATATTTTTCTTATTTCTTAAATTTCAACTTGTGCTTCCTTGACTATTTATTATTGTTTAACATTTTATTAAATTAGAATAATTATTTTTTACTTCTTGCTATTTTTATTAACTATTACTAAAAATAATACTAAGAGGGAACAAATTCGGCGGATAGGGAGCATCAGATTTTGGAACTGGTTTAGCAAATTGCTCTAATCTGAAAACATTAACCCTCAATCTGAGGTAGAATCAGTTTACTTGTTTCTAATAAATAATACTTTTTTTTTATTACTTCTAAATTTTATTCTATTTTAAGCTACTTTATTTAATCAAAAAGATATTTATTTTAATATTCTAATTTGAATTTACCTATTTATATTATCAAATTTTTCTTTTATTTTCAATTTTTTTGTTTGTTTTAACCAATGATATTTCTTAAAATATAAAAGAAAAAATAATATTGATGAAGATGGTTTATCAAACTTAGCTTCCAGTATAGGAATGTGTACTAATCTCACAATATTAACTCTCGATCTTTCGTAATTATAGATTATTTCTTTGATTTATTAATTTATGAAAACAAATAATTTAAAAATAAGAATAAAATATTCCTTATTACAAACCTTTTTCTACAAATACTTTTGTTAGCTCATTTACTTGTTTTTATCCTTTAATTTTAAATTTTGATATTTTTTTTAGAATAAAATATTTTTTATTTATTTTAAATAATTAATTTTTTATTGAAAATAAGTGAGAATACTATTGGAGAAATTAAAAAATGCAATATAGGTTCTTCTTTAGCAAATTCTACTTAGCTCACAACAATAAAACTAGACTTAAGGTAAAAATTGTTATTTACCTTTCTCTTTTATTAGTAAATTATCAATAGATCTATCTAGATAAGCAAAAAGAAAGAAATAAAGATATTAATTCCTTATTTTCTAAACATTAAATTTGCTTTTCTAACTTAAAACTTTAATTTTTATTTTTTCTATTATAACTTACTAATTTGAAAAAAATTTAAAAGTAACAATTAAATTGGTGACAGTGGTGCCTCAAACTTAAGTTAAGGGTTAGGAAGGCTTACTAATTTACTAAATTTATAACTAGAACTTAAGTAATAATAATTATTTATTTAAAAATAAAATTACTCTTATTTATTTTAATTAGTAAATAAATATAAATAAAGGATTTAATTATTTATTTTAATAATTTTTTTGTGTGTTTTTTATTATTTTTTTAATTATTTTCCATAATTTTTAATTTAAACTTTACATTTTAATCCTCAACAATTATTTTTTCTATTTAGAAATATTTTTATATTTACAAACAATTCTTTAAAATATCAAAAGATCTAATAAAATTGGTGGCCAAGGATAATTAGATTTATGTTCTAATTTGTTACAAATTCCTAATCTCTTAAATCTGACCTTAAACCTTGGGTAAAAATAATTTGTATTCTAAAATTTATACTTAAGTTATTAATTTGAATAAGCAAAAAGTAAGAAAAAATTCAAAATATTTTATCTTTTTTGCTTATTTAATATTATAAAAACTTTACTGGTTTATATTTTTTAGTTTTATATTAATTTCCATTAGCTTTATAGTTAATTTTTTAAACACTCTTTTAAAGAATGATTTGTTTATTAAATGATATTTTATCTAAAATATAAAAAGGGAAAACGAATTTGGTAAATTAGATGTTTCGTGCTCAAGTTAAACTTTAACTTATTTGAGTAATCTTTTAGCTTTGCATTTAGTCCTTAAGTAAAAAATAATTATCTTAATCTGTTTCTTGTGGTTTATATTTTTTTTAAGCAAAAATTTTGATAATAATAATATTATCTTGGTAAATACTTTAGCTATTTCATTATTTATAAAATCATCAAGTGCCTACTTTTTAATTTATTAATAGTTAGTTATTTTATCCTACTTTTCTATTAATTATTTACTTCATTTTTAAGTATTTTTTAATAAAAATTTCAAAATAAATTCATTTATTTTTTAAATCCATGTAAACTATTTTCTTACTATTATTAAAAGAGGAAATGAAATTAATGATAAAAATATATCAGATATAGTTTAAACTTTAGCAAAATAAACTAATCTCTCAAATTTGTCTATTGATTTAGCGTAATAATAATTTATTCAGAAGCTCTCTTGCTTTGAAATTAAATTTATTTATTTAGTTAATTTTTTAGCTTCTTAATTTATTATAATTTTCAATTTATTTTATCACTTTATATTTGAAGTGGAAGGGGGTAAAATATTAAATAATACACTGAAATTTAAAAATTTACATGTCTTTCTTATTCATTTTTAATTTAATTTTAATATTAATGTAATCAACTTCCACCCTTTAAATTTTTCCTTCATATATATCTTTAACTTTTTTACTGCATATTTTATAAAAAATAATAAAGCCTTAACTAAATTGGTGCATATGGTGTATAAAGCTTAATTTCTAGTTAATCATAATGTTCTAAACTCTAAACATTGACAATAGATCTTTCGTAAAATTTTTTCATTTATTAATTTAATATATTTTTTTCACAATAATTTGGTTATTTTTACATATAAAATTTATTTTTATGTTTTAATTTATTAATTAATTATTTCTACTTTAAATTAAAGCTATCATTATTAATTTTTATTTATATTCGTTTTTATATTAAATTTTATAATTAACATTATCCTTGAAAACAAAAGGCACAATTAAATTGAAGAATAGAGTGAATTAGACTTAGATTTTAATATATCAAAGTGCAATAATCTCTCCAATTTAACAATTTATCTTCAGTAATAATTATTTATTTATTTATTTATTTACTTTTATTGGATTTTATTTTATAAATTCCAATTGCAAAATTAACAAAAAGAAAGAATTTAAGAATATTTTATATGACAGATCCTCAAAGTATGGCTACTTAGATAACTATAATAGATTTATCTTATTTTTTAGCTATAAATTTATACTTTAATTTCAAACTTATTATTTTTTCATTTTTATTTTTATCAAAATACTTTCACATATAAAAATTATTTCTAAAACTTCTAAATAAAAGCCATAGTTTTATTGGTGGAAGAAATGCAGAAAAAATAGTTAATAGTTTGGCAAAATGCTCTAGTCTCTCTTTTTTAACTCTCCACCTTTAGTAATATTTTCTAAATCTTTTATAATTGTTTGTTTTTGAAATAAAGACTTATCCTACTTGATAAAAATATTTAATACATTTATTATAAAAAATAATTATAGTGGCAATGATATTATCACACCAAATAATTTAAGGACAAAAATGCTTAAAATGAGAAAATTAGTCGAATTGGTTTTTTATTTATGGTGAATAACAATTTACTTAAATTAATGCTTTGTGCTAATAAATTTATGTATCAGTATTAATTAGCAAAATTAAACTTCAATATAAATATTAAAAATGTATTTATTTATTTTTAATTTTTGTATATCCTCTAATTATTACAAAATAATTATTCAAATAAATATTTTAATTTTTATTTAATAATTAAATCTTTTTTTAATTTTTTGTTACAAACTGATGATTTTTTCAATAATAATGGTTCAGTTTAAATTAAAAATAATAAAATAATAAACGAAAGTATTTATAAACAAAATTAATTACTGAAGTACCTATAACCTCGCACCTTGCATTTCACAAAGAAAGAAAGAAAAATTTGAGGTTGCGAGAAAATTTTTTGATCCTATTTATTATGAACATTCAGATTTATTGACTTTATGCTGAATTTAAGATAAATTTTCAAAAAAAATATGAAATTTAAATAAATTTTGTCTTTAATATAAACAAATGTTAATATTAATTATATAAATTATAATTAACTAAACTATTTTGTTGTTTTATTAAGATAAATTTTTCTTTCTTTCTTGGTTCTTTATTTCTTTTGAATTTGTATCTTTCTTATCTTAATATGATAATTATTAATGTAAGAAACTATTATAAATATTATGCTCTTACTTATTAAAACTCTAGTTATTTTTGCAGAATTTATCTTTTCTAAAATCTATTTCATATTAAAACAATAATCTTACATCAACTTCTTCTTGTCTTCCTTCACCTTCATTTGTAATATTAGAAACATCATCTTTTTCTTCAACTTGTAGAACTTACACAATATTGTAAAACTGTTCACCTTTAATACTATAAATTATGTCTATATTTGATAATAACTTTTATATTTAATGAGGAACATCATAAATCGAATCTTTATTTAAGTTTTCTATTATTTCTTTTTGTCATCATAATAAGAAAAACAATATTGCAAAGCTGCTCACTTTTAATACTATCAATAATGTCTATATTTGATAATAACTTTTATATTTAATGAGGAACATCATAAGTCGAATCTTTATTTAAGTTTCCTATTATTTCTTTTTGTCATTATAATAAGAAAACTAGATTACAGATATCTCTATTTTTAGTAAGGCTTCTCACCCTCGAATTTACTCATTTCTAAAAATTTTTTGAATTTAAAAAATATGAAGTAAATTAGAATATGAGTGGACGGCAGACATCAGAGATTACCTTAGCTAACTCATTTATAAAACTTAAAATAAAGATTATGAGTCCACAGAAAACTAAGGTAAAAATGGTTATCAGAACACCAAAAAGACTATAAATAAAAAATTGTTTTCGTCCACTACTAATTTTAAAATTAATTTATGAAAAAAATTGTTCATAAAGCAAAGTTATCTTCAAAAGTTAAAAATATTTCATTAATCAAGCGATTTATTATATAGATTTGTTCTATTATATAGTAAGGTAAGAAAAGTAAAAGTAAGTATTAAATGATGAATTTTTAAAGATTTATTCTATTAAAATTTATTATTACAGAAAATCCATATTTTTTAAAAGCTAATTGTGATGATTGCTATGTGTTTTAAAAAAATGATTTTTTAAATCCTTATTTCTGATTATTTTACATTTTTAAATCATTCAAATATGGATGGATATTAATAATATAAAATAAAATTAATTAAAAACTTATATTCTATAGATATGAGGTATTCAATTTTATTGAATATTTGAAATTTGTAAAAATTAATTATAATTCAGATATAAGTTATTATAAATAATCTTAAAGCTATGAAATATATATGATACTAGTGATAATTGATAAATAATATATCAAAATACTATTTTTAGTTTTGCTGATTAAAAATTGAAGATCTTAATTAATTAATTAATAGTATTCAACAGTATTTGTATTTAATAAAATGAAGATATATTTAATTTATTAATGAAATCTTGCCTTTTTGATTTGCAGATTTCTTAAGAAATCTGATTAATTATATTTTTAATTTATAATAAATATAAATGATTACAATTCCACTACTTTATGATAGATACTTTCATTGTGTTAGCTTATAGTGATATACATACGCTAACCTATTATAATTATAAAAAAGAAAAAGAATAATATTATTCTTAATAAAAGCTTTCATATAATTTTATATTCGTAAATTTCCCAAAACCATAAACTTATCATCAAAATACATTTTTAAAAATGTTAATATTTGACGCCATTTTTCATTTAAAAAGTATTTTAAATAATTTTTCAGAGAGAAAAAATGTTCTAAACTTTAGAATAAAATATTTTTAAAAAATATATGCAAATATATAAAATATTTCTTATTATTATAGTCAATTTATAAACTATAGTGTAATGCATAATAAAAACAACATTATTAGCTCTTAATATATTACCAAAATAAATAAATGGAAGATGATGAACATAATCAGTTTAATTTTAATAAAATAAATTAATTCTTATAGTATTTTAAAGGAAAATATTTATTTATGAGTTAAAAAATATTTTAAATAATGCAAGTATTTTTAATATCTAAATTATATTTTTATTTAAAATAGCGATTCATTCCATTTCCGCCATTTTTTATGGATTATTTTTAGGCCATTTTGTGTGGCTAAATAAACTTGTTTGTATTTTAATATTTAATATTTTCTCATTATAATAAATGTATTTTCATAAATTATAATTTTTTTATATTATGTAGAATTTTTTTAAAAATATTAACTACTTTTAACTATACGCTTGTTGATTATAAACGTATACCATATTGAATTTAATTCCTTTTGATTTAGATATATATTAAAGAACTTTTATTTATTTACTTACTTTATTTTCTTTTATTCAATTATAATAAAGATATAAGATATGGCAAGCTGATTTAATTTACTTTTTGGAAAAACGATGAGCTTAACTATTATTCGCAGATTTTAATAAATGAGATAAACAAGGTAGGTGTCAAAGTTAGTAGAATATTTGACTTTAAATACAGTGGATTTATTTGAAATCTCTATAATATTAATTAAGAAAAGGTAATAACTATTATCAAAAACTATTAAAGTTCAGCAAAAAAACTACTAGCTAGTAAGCAAGCAAAAATCAACAGTCAACAACAAACCATTAAAGGAAAATGTAGCAAAGAATCGAGGAAATTGCAAAAAAGACCTAGGGTTGCAGTATCGATAATCAAAGAATCTTTATGTTCTTCTAACAGCTTAGGAAGTAGCAGAAACATTACAATGATTTTGAATATTTGGGAAATGGATCATTTGCTTTAGTAATCAAAGCTTTTAACAAGAATTCTCAAAGATAAGTTGCACTAAAAATTGTTCTATGCAACTAAAATGAACCTAGCGAGGAGGAGTCTGTTTTGAAGGAGTACAATTTACTTTTGAAGATTAAGAATTGTCCATACCTTGTCGACGTCTACAATCATTTCTATGTCTATGAAGAAAAAATCATAATCGAAGATTCAGATGATGAAGAATAAATAGCTGAAAAACCTAAAAAGCAAAATGAAAAATTGAAGTCCTTCTTAGTCTTAGAACTCGAATTTTGCAAGAGTAAAGATTATTTTGCCATTTTATATTTAAATTTTAACAAAAAAGTAGATCCAAAAGCAGATTACTATGAATAATATCATTCAGTTTAAACGTATGATTAAATTTCAACTTTATGATAATAAACTCCATTTTAAGCGTACCAATTTAAAGGGATTAGAGTGTTTACCTAAATTTTAAAGGTACGCTCAAATATTCTGATGTTAAATGAAGACTTTATTGATAATTTTGATTATTAAGCATTTAGATAAATTCATCATAATAATCAAATTAATGAATAATGAATGAAAATAGAAAGGAAAGATGTTTTACTTTTTCTTGTTTTTCAAATCAACTAATTTATATATTGATTGACTTTGATATCAAGATATTTTTCTTAAATCAATTAATTAACAAAATAAATGAATATACCTTATTCATTTATTTATTTCATCTCTTTAGTTATCATATATCATGAATGAATTTCATTCAAAAATAATATGAAAATTTAATAAGGTGATTCATTCATTTTTACATAAAATTTGCATCCTTCATTCCACTTAATACTGACATATGTACTATCATTTCCTTTAACAGATATTTTATTTATTTTACTTAAGATTCATTCATTTTACAAAAATTTTATCATGGATCTTATTTCATTCATTTTGATGAATTTTTTCTAACTAATTTTTGCAATAAAAATCTTAATTTATTTTGATGAATTTACTAAATATTTTTAAATTTTATTTTTATCAAACAAAACTATCAATATTGTCATCATACATCTAAATAAAGGATATTTTATTTAACATTATTTATATTTATATTTTTTATCATCCCTTTATATTTTTGATATGCGCAAATATTTTTTAATTAATAATAAATAAATTTATGGCAAATATAATATTTATTCATTATTAATCATATAAAACAAAATAAATTGAATTTTATAATAAATTATTTAGATTATGCAATTACTAATTAACAAAATGAGAAATAAATAATAAATTTAAGCAATATTTAAAAGAATTATAACAATTAAATAAAATAAACACCTTTTTATGTTTTTATTTAACAAGGAAGAGATAAAAATAAGAAAATTTACAATATTAAAGGCAAAACCCAAATAAAAATATTATTTTAAAAAGCTTTAAGATAAGCTTGATTTTATTATTAAATATATAAAAATAGAACAAAATTTATCATTTTTTCTAAATATTTTTATATTTTAAAAATAAATATTTATAAATAATCATATTATTTACATCCATTTTAAATTTAAATAGCAAATTTAGCAGATTACTTCAGATATTGTAGACATTAGAAATAATATCCTGATAAGTAAATGAAAGAAATCCTAGCTATTCAAATTCTTGATGGAATATCCTTCCTCCATTAGAAATCGTTCCTACATCGAGATATCAAACCAAACAACATCCTTCTTTAGTTTGATAACTAAAACAATCCGATTATCAAGATTTGTAAATATTTTTTATTTAAATTTACATATTTTAAAGAAGATACTCTACTCTTAATTAAAAAATTCAAAATAGAAATAAATAATTTTTAATAATTTAAGATTTTATTGATTTTAATTAAAAATTATTAAATTTTAAACAAAAAAATTAAATAAAACATGAGGAAATGTAAATTTATATTTCTATCTCTGAATAAAAATTTTAAATAAACTTTATCAATAGCTTATTTAAAGAAAGAAAAATTTAGAAATTTTCTTAAAAATAATATTTTTTCTCGATTTTAGATCGAGAGTTAACAAAATCAATAATAATATTTCTTAAAATTTTATGATTTTATATTTGATTAAATAAAAAAGATTAGTTTTATTTAAATCTCCCTAAAATAATTTTTAATATGAAAGCTTGATTATTATAAGGTCTCTAACATTGCAAATATACTTTTTATTTTAAGAAATCAATAATATAAATCTTAATAAAATAATATTTTATAGGTGATTTAGCTTTTGCTTCATTCATATCTCCAAGCCAATCATAGATCCACACTAAACAGGTAAGTTAATTCTTTAAGTTTTTTTATAATCTAAAAGAAAAATATAAAAATTAGAAAGGAACTAGAGAATATATGCCTCCAGAATTATAGTCAGACATATGGAGAAAAGAAGTAAACTTTTTTTATTTTAATAGTGATTAAAAAAAACATTTTTAAAGAGTGACTTATTCTAAGTTGGGATAGTTCTATTAGAACTTGATAACATTGAAAAATTCGATTTCTTGAAGACAACAGATGATGAAAGGTATGCTCTAAGAAATGGTTAAATATTCCCAACTTATTTTCTTGACAGAAAATCTAACATTTTCTAAATTGCTTAAACATTCTTGAATCCTAACTTTAAAGAACGTTAATCTGCATAAAAGTTTCTTGAATAGCTTCTATGGAAAGATCCTTAATATCAAAACATTGAATTGAGTTCTATCATCATTATGGTAATAATTAATCTTATTTCATCACTTAGAAATTAAAAAAAGGAATGTTTTAAGATTTGAGACATTAAAAACTTGTTAATAAATAATTCATTTAAACTAATCTTCTAATTTTAAGTTTTTAAACAGTTTTATTAACTTTTAATTTAACTTCTTTTAATATTTAAATGGTATATTTAGCATTTTATAACTTAAAAAATAAATAAAAATTTATCAATTTTGTAATAATTTAAAATATTAATTTTAACTTATCAGCCATAATTAGGGAAGAAAGTACATGAAATACTAAATACTAATTCTCAGTAAGCATAAGGTTTGAATGCAAGTTAAAATATTCAAGAATCTATGTTGAAAGTAATTAATTTGTTTCTCAAAAAATATAAATAATTGGTTCAAAATTTAATTGCTGAATTTCTTCAGAAGCTAAATTTTTTATCTATCATAAATCTAATTAGTTTCTTTAGATTATATAAATTTATCATTTTTAAAGAAATTAATTAAAATATTACAAAATATATTTATCTATCTACCTATCTGCTTTAAAAATTATTAAGATTAAAGATTTAAATTTTATTTTAAAAAAAGTCTTAAATCATGCACAAGGTAAGCTAGATCAATTAATAAAGTTAAATCAGTTAGATTCAAAATTCTGTTTAAGCCATGTCATTATCTTAGATTTATAATGTAGAAAATATTTTATAAATTTATGAATTATATTTTTATTGCTTTTTCAAAATTAGGATTAAATTTAGAGCTTGCTCAATGATTACTAAAACAAGATAAAAATTAAAAAAATTTTTACAGAAGATGAATTGAAAAAAGCAATGCTCTAACTGTTTAACAAACAAAATTATAGTAAGAGCTTTTATCTTATTAGCCAAGGAGGGAAAGGACTTATCATTGGTGCATATAATTTAAAAGATAAAAGAGATTGTGTACTTAAAATATAAAAAGTTTAATCAAAATCTCGTATTATAAAAGAAATCAGCATTCTTAAATGCTGTCAAATGCCTTTAATTGTAAAATTATATGATTTCTTTTATCTTAATGTTGTTTAAAAGGAGGATTTCGTAGTCTACGAGTTAGAAAAATGTGATTGTAAATAAATAATTACTTTTTACTTTAATATAATAGGAAGAGTGTGGTCAAGATAGATTTTTTAAGGACCATGTTTTATAATTTTTTTTAATTAAGTTGATTGAAAAAAATTTATAATAATTGGTACTTTAAAAAATCTGTTTTGAACACACTTTTCCTATTGTATATTTTATTCTTAATTTTTGTTAAATTATATATTTATTTATTGAATAGGTGACCTTAAGGCTTACTTAGAAAAAAAGTAAAATGATTAGCAATTCACTTAAGAAGTTAAAGAAGAAATTGCTATTTAAATGATGGATTCTGTTAATTACATACATAAACATAATATCATCCACAGAGATATTAAGCCTTAAAATTTTTTAGTTTAAGAAAGCAATAGCTCTATCCCAGCAATCAAATTAAGTAATTATTCTCTTTATGCTATTAATTTGTCAATATTTTATTTAATTAAATTAAATTAATTTAATGTTATTTAAACATTTTAATAACTTAATTGTATTTTTATACATTTTAATTTGATTTTATCTATAATAAAATAATATTATTAATATATTTGTATTATTTAGCTTCATTTATCTTTTATTTTTATTCTTAGGTGACTTTGATGAAGCTGATTTTTTAAGATTAGATGAAGAGTATGGTTATGATTCTAATGGAAATTGGATTCTATAATAATATTTTGCACCTAATTGTGATGGGGTAAATAAATAAAAATGAATTTAAAGTAAATTTTTATTATTTTGGTATAAGTGTGGAACATTTGGTTATTGGGCACCTGAGTAAATATATGAAAAGTAATCAACAATAGAAGTAAATTAATTAGATTAAAATTTTATTAGATTTGAATGAAATTTTTTTTATATTATTTAAAGTGTGATGTATTTAGTCTAGGAATATCTTTATCGTTGTTAGATAACTTTTAAAAATTATAACCAGTTTATCATTATGAATGTTTAAAAATTGGAAAATAATTTGTGGAACCTTTTGAACCTTATAAGGGCTAACTAGATTTAATTAATAGACAAACTAAAATTTATTAGAAAGCAATTATGTACTCATTGGTTTATGATAAATACAAAAGAAAAGATTTGCCATAAATTTTAGATAATTTCAAATAAAATTATTTTTCTAAAGAGATAAAATAAGTAAGAATAATCATTTTATGTTTTTCTAATTTTTTTAGAATATTTTAAATTTTTTTAATTTAAGGCTATTATTTGACAGAAATAAGTTTATTTATTTATTTTTATTAAATTATTCGATTAGATTTCTTTAATTAATGATCATTAAATTGCTTAAATCAGTTTTAAGTAATTATATTAACTTTTTATTAATTATTAAATTTTTTTAAATTAAAATATTTGTGAAAATTGATTAGGCTTGTATTAAAATTAGTGCAAGACTTGTTTTTTAGTATTTCGATTTATATATGTTTTAATTTAATTTTTTCAAAAATAGAAAATTGTTTTTTAAAAATTTAAATTGTAATTAACTTTTGATTGTCAATAGTCAATGTGTTAATTTTTGATAATTCGATAAAATTTTCAAAACAAATTCAAAGAAACAAACAAACAAAAAAACATATTTTAATAATATTTTTGAAGGGATAATAAGATTGGTGCAGAAGGAGCAAAACATATTGGAATGAGCTTAGAAAAGTGTCAAAATATCACTTCTTTGAATCTCAATCTATGGTAATTTTGTTAAATATTTATTTGATTAAGTTTGTTAGTTGAAGTTGTAAAATATGTAAGGCCGTAAAGAAGTAAATAAGTGATTAATTTGTTAAGCAAAAGATGCTTTTGATTATGAATGAATGAATGAATTCATTCAATCACTCATTTCTTCATTCAATCACTCATTTCTTCATTCAAATATCTTCTTTTTTTTTATTTAATTAATTACTTACATACTCATCCAGCTACTTATTTACTTACTTATTTTAATTTTCAATTTTATTATGATTTTCAAAACAAATTCAAAGAAACAAACAAACAAAAAAACATATTTTAATAATATTTTTGAAGGGAAAATAGAATTGGTGCAGAAGGAGCAAAACATATTGGAATGAGCTTAGAAAAGTGTCAAAATATCACTTCTTTGAATCTCAATGTTAGGTAATTTTGTTAAATATTTATTTGATTAAGTTTGTTAGTTGAAGTTTTAAAATATGTAAGGCCGTAAAGAAATAAATAAGTGATTAATTTGTTAAGCAAAAGATGCTTTTGATTATGAATGAATGAATTCATTCAATCACTCATTTCTTCATTCAAATATCTTCTTTTTTTTTATTTAATTAATTACTTACATACTCATCCAGCTACTTATTTACTTACTTACTTATTTTAATTTTCAATTTTATTATGATTTTCAAAACAAATTCAAAGAAACAAACAAACAAAAAAACATATTTTAATAATATTTTTGAAGGTACAATTACATTGGTGCAGAAGGAGCAAAACATATTGGAATGAGCTTAGAAAAGTGTCAAAATATCACTTTTTTGAATCTCAATCTATGGTAATTTTGTTAAATATTTATTTGATTAAGTTTGTTAGTTGAAGTTGTAAAATATGTAAGGCCGTAAAGAAGTAAATAAGTGATTAATTTGTTAAGCAAAAGATGCTTTTGATTATGAATGAATGAATGAATTCATTCAATCACTCATTTCTTCATTCAAATATCTTCTTTTTTTTTATTAAATTAATTACTTACATACTCATCCAGCTACTTATTTACTTACTTACTTACTTACTTATTTTAATTTTCAATTTTATTATGATTTTCAAAACAAATTCAAAGAAACAAACAAACAAAAAAACATATTTTAATAATATTTTTGAAGGGAAAATAGAATTGGTGCAGAAGGAGCAAAACATATTGGAATGAGCTTAGAAAAGTGTCAAAATATCACTTCTTTGAATCTCAATCTATGGTAATTTTGTTAAATATTTATTTGATTAAGTTTGTTAGTTGAAGTTGTAAAATATGTAAGGCCGTAAAGAAATAAATAAGTGATTAATTTGTTAAGCAAAAGATGCTTTTGATTATGAATGAATTAATGAATTCATTCAATCACTCATTTCTTTATTCAAATATCTTCTTTTTTTTTATTTAATTAATTACTTACATACTCATCCAGCTACTTATTTACTTACTTACTTACTTACTTACTTATTTTAATTTTCAATTTTATTATGATTTTCAAAACAAATTCAAAGAAACAAACAAACAAAAAAACATATTTTAATAATATTTTTGAAGGTACAATTACATTGGTGCAGAAGGAGCAAAACATATTGGAATGAGCTTAGAAAAGTGTCAAAATATCACTTCTTTGAATCTCAATCTATGGTAATTTTGTTAAATATTTATTTGATTAAGTTTGTTAGTTGAAGTTGTAAAATATGTAAGGCCGTAAAGAAGTAAATAAGTGATTAATTTGTAAAGCAAAAGATGCTTATGATTATGAATGAATGAATGAATTCATTCAATCACTCATTTCTTCATTCAAATATCTTCTTTTTTTTTATTAAATTAATTACTTACATACTCATCCAGCTACTTATTTACTTACTTACTTACTTACTTACTTACTTACTTACTTACTTACTTATTTTAATTTTCAATTTTATTATGATTTTCAAAACAAATTTAAAGAAACAAACAAACAAAAAAACATATTTTAATAATATTTTTGAAGGTAAAATAACATTGGTGCAGAAGGAGCAAAACATATTGGAATGAGCTTAGAAAAGTGTCAAAATATCACTTCTTTGAATCTCAATGTTAGGTAATTTTGTTAAATATTTATTTGATTAAGTTTGTTAGTTGAAGTTGTAAAATATGTAAGGCCGTAATGAAGTAAATAAGTGATTAATTTGTTAAGCAAAAGATGCTTTTGATTATGAATGAATGAATTCATTCAATCACTCATTTCTTCATTCAAATATCTTCTTTTTTTTTATTAAATTAATTACTTACATACTCATCCAGCTACTTATTTACTTAGTTACTTACTTATTTTAATTTTCAATTTTATTATGATTTTCAAAACAAATTCAAAGAAACAAACAAACAAAAAAACATATTTTAATAATATTTTTGAAGGGGAAATGAAATTGGTGCAGAAGGAGCAAAACATATTGGAATGAGCTTAGAAAAGTGTCAAAATATCACTTCTTTGAATCTCAATCTATGGTAATTTTGTTAAATATTTATTTGATTAAGTTTGTTAGTTGAAGTTGTAAAATATGTAAGGCCGTAAAGAAGTAAATAAGTGATTAATTTGTTAAGCAAAAGATGCTTTTGATTATGAATGAATGAATGAATTCATTCAATCACTCATTTCTTCATTCAAATATCTTCTTTTTTTTTATTAAATTAATTACTTACATACTCATCCAGCTACTTATTTACTTACTTACTTACTTACTTACTTACTTACTTATTTTAATTTTCAATTTTATTATGATTTTCAAAACAAATTCAAAGAAACAAACAAACAAAAAAACATATTTTAATAATATTTTTGAAGGGATAATAAGATTGGTGCAGAAGGAGCAAAACATATTGGAATGAGCTTAGAAAAGTGTCAAAATATCACTTCTTTGAATCTCAATCTATGGTAATTTTGTTAAATATTTATTTGATTAAGTTTGTTAGTTGAAGTTGTAAAATATGTAAGGCCGTAAAGAAGTAAATAAGTGATTAATTTGTTAAGCAAAAGATGCTTTTGATTATGAATGAATGAATGAATGAATTCATTCAATCACTCATTTCTTCATTCAAAACATACTCATCCAGCTACTTATTAACTTACTTATTTTAATTTTCAATTTTATTATGATTTTCAAAACAAATTCAAAGAAACAAACAAACAAAAAAACATATTTTAATAATATTTTTGAAGGAATAATAAGATTGGTGCAGAAGGAGCAAAACATATTGGAATGAGCTTAGAAAAGTGTCAAAATATCACTTCTTTGAATCTCTATCTATCGTAATTTTGTTAAATATTTATTTGATTAAGTTTGTTAGTTGAAGTTGTAAAATATGTAAGGCCGTAAAGAAGTAAATAAGTGATTAATTTGTAAAGCAAAAGATGCTTTTGATTATGAATGAATGAATGAATTCATTCAATCACTCATTTCTTCATTCAAATATCTTCTTTTTTTTTATTTAATTAATTACTTACATACTCATCCAGCTACTTATTTACTTACTTACTTACTTATTTTAATTTTCAATTTTATTATGATTTTCAAAACAAATTCAAAGAAACAAACAAACAAAAAAACATATTTTAATAAAATTTTTAAAGCTACAATAACATTGGTGCAGAAGGAGCAAAACATATTGGAATGAGCTTAGAAAAGTGTCAAAATATCACTTCTTTGAATCTCAATATATCGTAATTTTGTTAAATATTTATTTGATTAAGTTTGTTAGTTGAAGTTGTAAAATATGTAAGGCCGTAAAGAAGTAAATAAGTGATTAATTTGTTAAGCAAAAGATGCTTTTGATTATGAAAAAATAGGAAATGAAGTGCACGGCGTCAGATCAAAATTTTATTCCAAAAACCTTAAAATTTTTGAAAAATTGTAAAAAAGTAGAAAAGTAGAAAAGTAGAAAAGTTCCAATAAAAAATAATGGGATATATGGTATATATAATATGATTTTTTAAAAATTATTTTCAATTTGGAAAGTCTGATTAGATGAGTGTGATTATATGGATAATTGAGATAAAAAATATTTAATTTTTTTATTGTGAAATTAGTACGATTTTCCATATCTATATCTGTGACAAAATATCCCGGATGTTAAGTTCTCTATTGATAAATATAATAACATTTTTATCCTAAATTTGATGATATTATAAAATAGATTGATTGATAATTCATTTTATTGTATTTTTTATTTTTTAAAAAGTCTGAAAACTTTTAAATGCGAAAATAATGTAAATCATCATTTTTATGTGAATAAAGATCAATCAATTACCCAATTAATAACACTAAATTGCTTATGGAAATAAAAAATTTTATATGGATTAAAACAAAATATATAAAGAATTTATTAAAATAATATATTTATAATCGAATATTATTAATATAAATAAAAACATTTCTAAAATTTTGAATTTAAAAAATAGGAAGTAAATTAGAATATGAGTGGAAGGCAGACATTAGAGGTTACCTTAGCTAACTCATTTATAAAACTTAAAAGAAAAATTATGAATCCACAGATAACCAAGGTAATATGGCTATCAGAATACCAAAAAGACAAAAATAATAGATTGTCCTCATCCTCTACTAGTTTTAAAATTAATTTATGGAAAATTTGTTCATTTATCTAATTTATCTTCGAAAATTAAAAATACTTCTTTAGTTAAATGATTTATTTTATCAATTAGTTCTATTTTATATTAAGGTAACAAGAGTAGAAAGAAGTATTAAATAATACATTTTTAAAAGTTTATTCTATTAAAAATTTATTTATTATACAAAAAATCCGTATTTTTTATAAGTGATGCTTTTTGTGTTTAAAAAAAAATTAACTTTTAAGATTATTTTACATTTTTAAATGATTCAAATCTGGATGGATGTTAATAATATAAAATAAAATTAATAATAAACTTATATTTTATAAAAGCCAGGTCTTCAGATTTATTGAATATTTGAAAATTATTTAAAATTAATTATAATTCAGACATTAGTTATTATAAAAAATCTTAAATTTAGGAAATATATGCTTGCGATACTGGTAAAAGATGATAAATTGAAATCAAAACACTATTTTTAGTTTTTCTGATTTAAAATTGAAGATCTTAATTAATAGTATTCAACAGTATTTGTATTTAATTAAATGAAGATATATTTAGTTTATTAATGAAATCTTGCCTTTTTAATTTACGAATTTTTTATGAAATCTGATCAATTATATTAATAAATTTATAATAAATATAAATTATTACAATTCCACTATTTTATGATGATACTTTCATTTTGTTAATTTATAGTGATATACATACTCTAACCTATTATAATTATAAACAACAAAAAGCAAGCATAGTATGATTCTTTATAAAAACTTTTAAAGAATTTAAATTATGTAAATTTCCCACAACCATAAACTTATCATCAAAATACATTTTTAAAAAGGTTCATATTTGACGCCATTTTTTTATTTAAATATATTTTAAATAATTTTCCAGAGAGAAAAATATTCAAAGAATCAAATATTTTTAAGTATATAAAATGTAAAATATTTCTTAATTTTCATCTAATCAATTTATAAATTATAATGTAATGAGTAATAAAACAACATTTTTAGATCTTAATATATTAACCAAACAAAATAAATGGGAGGTGATAAATATAATCAGTTTAATTTTAATAAAATAAAATAAATTAATTTTTTAAATATTTTAAAATCAAATAAATATTTTAGAGTTAAAAAATATTATGAATAATGCCCATATTTTTATAATTAAATTATATTTTTATTTAAAATAGCAACTTATTGCATTTCCGCCATTTTTTCTTCATTGTATTTCCACAATTATTTGTGGCTAAATAGAATTGTTTGTAATTTAATACTTTAGTTTTTTCTCATTAGAATAAATGTATTTTTCATAAATTATAATGTTTTTTAAATTACCTAGAATTTTTCTTAAAATATTTACTACTATTAAGCTATCTGCTGGCTATAAACGAATACCATATTGAATTTAATTACTTTTGATTTGGATATATAATAAAGAACTTTTTTTATTTACTTACTTAATTTTCTTTGTATTTAATTATTAGAAAGGTTTAAGATATGGCAAGCTGATTTAATTTACTAATAGGAAAAATAATGAGCTTGACTACTATTTGCAGATTTTAATAAATGAGATAAACAAGGAAGGTGTCAAAGTTAGTAGAATATTTGAGTTGAAATACAGTGGATTTTTTTGAAATATCTATAATATTAATTAAGAAAAGGTAATAACTATTATCAAAAACTATTAAAGTTCAGCAAAAAACCACTAGCTAATAAGCAAACAAGTAAAAGTCAACAGTCACCAAACAACAAATCTTACAATGAATATGTAACAAAGAATCAAGGAAATAGCAAAAAAAACCTAGGGCTGCAGCATCGATAATCAAAGAATCTTTATGTTCTTCTAACAGCTTAGAAAATAGCAGAAACATTACAATGATTTTGAATATTTGGGAAATGGATCATTCGCTTTAGTAATTAAAGCTATTAACAAGAATTCTCAAAAATAAGTTGCACTAAAAATTGTACTATGCAACTAAAATGAATCTAACGAGGAAGAGTCTGCTTTGAAAGAGTACGATTTACTTAAGAAGATTAAGCATTGTCCATATCTTGTTGATGTTTACAATCAATTCTATGTCTATGAAGAAGAAATCATTATTTAAGATTCAGATGATGAAGAGTAAATAGCTGAAAAACCTAAAAATCAAAATGAAAAATTGAAGTCCTTCTTAGTCTTAGAACTCGAATTTTGCAAGAGTAAAGATTATTAAACCATTTTATATTTAAATTTTAACAAAAAAGTAGATCAAAAAACAGATTACTATGAATAATATCAATCAGTTTAAACGTATGATTAAATTTCAACTTTTTGATAATAAACGCCATTTTAAGCTTGTCAATTTAAAGGGTTTAGAGTGTTTAGCTTAGTTTTAATGCCCACACTCAAATATTTGGAAGTTAAATGAAGACATTATTGATAATTTTGATTATTGAGCATTAAGATAAAATCATAATAATAATCAAATTAATGAACAATGAATGAAAATAGATAGGAAAGATGTTTTACTTTTTCTTGTTTTTCAAGTCAACTAATTAATATATTGAATGACTTTGATAATTAAAGATATTTTTATTAAATCAATTGATTAATAAAATAAATGAATATCCCAAACTCATTTATTTATTTCATCTCTTTAGTTATCATATAGCATGAATGAATTTCATTCAAATATAAGAAGAAAATTTAATATGGTGATTCATTCATTTTTACATAAAATTTGCATCCTTCATTGCTTTTAACATATATTTTATTTACTTCCTTAAATTTCATTAATTTTACAAAAATTGTATTATGGATCATTCATTATTTCATTCATTTTGATGAATTTTTTCTTACTAATTTTTGTGATGAAAATCTTCATTGATTTTTTATGAATTAATTTACTAACTATTTTTAGATTTCATATCTTTTTCTTATCAAACAAAACTATTAATATTGTCATCATACATCTGAATACAAGAGATATTTCTTAATACTATATTGATTTACATTTTTTATTACCCCTTTATATTTTATTAATATTGATAAGCGCAATTATTAACAATAAATAAATTTATGGCAAATATAATCTTTATTCATTATTAATCATATTATACAAAACAAATTGAATATTAAACTAAAAAATTATTAATTTTATAATAAATTATTGAATAATTAAATTAATTTCAAATAAATTAATGAATCCAAAATATTATTAAATTAAAAATATAGATTATACAATTATAAATTAACAAAATGAAAAATAAATAAATAATAAACATAACCAATAAACAAAAGAAATATAACCATTTAATAAAGTAGATATCTTTACATGTTTTTATTTAACAAGAAAAAGATAAAAATAAGAAAACTTTTTATAAAAATGGCAATTTCCAAATAAAAATACAAAAAGTATTAAAATAGGCATTAATTTTTTGTTAAATATTTATAAAAAGGAGCAAAATTTATGATTTTTTCTAAAATATTCCTATTTTAAAAATATAAATATTTATAAATGATCATATTTTTTACATTTATTTTAAATTTAAATAGCAAATTTAGCAGACTACTTTAGATATTGTAGAGAAAAGAATCAATATCCTGATAAGAAAATGAAAGAAATCCTAACTATCCAAATTCTTGATGGAATATCCTTCCTCCATTAGAAATCGTTCCTACATCGAGATATCAAACCAAACAACATCCTTCTTTAGTTTGATAACTAAAACAATCCGATTATCAAGATTTGTAAATATTTTTATTTAAATTTACATATTTCTAAATAAAATAGAAATACTCTACTCTCAAGACAAAATTTCAAAATAAATCTTAGAAATTTTGAATAATTTTAGATTTTTTTGATTTTAATTAAAAATTAAATAAGGTTAATAACTTTAAATTAATATTTTCATTTTTGATTAAAATTTAAAAATAAACTTTATCAATAACTTTTTAAAGAAAAAAATAATAACAATTTAGAAATTTTATTAAAAAATAATATTTTTTCTTAATTTTAGATGTAGTATAAGCAAATCAATAATTTTATGTCTTAAAATTTTATGATTATATTTGTTAAGATAACAAATATTAGTTTTAAATTTCATTAAAATATATTTTAAAATGAAAGCTTGATTATTATAATCTCTACACATACAAATAACTTTTAATTTTAAGAAATCAATAATAAATCTATAAAAAAAAATAATATTTTTTAGGTGATTTAGGTTTTGCATCTTTCATATCTCCAAGCCAATCAAAGATCCACACTAAATAGGTAAATTAATTCTTTTAGTTTTTTTATAACCTAAAAGAATTATATAAAAATTAGAAAGGAACTAGGGAATATATGCCTCCAGAATCATAGTTAGACATTTGGAGAAGAGAAGTAAACTTTTTGTTATTTTAATAAACATTAAATAAATCATTTTAAAGAGTGACCTATTCTAAGTTGGGATAGTTCTATTAGAACTAGATAACATTCAAAAGTTTGACTTCTTGAAGACTACAGATGATGAAAGGTACGTTCTAAGAAACGGTTAAATATTCCCAAATTAATCACTTGACAGAAAATCTAACATTTTCTAAATTGCTTAAACTTTCTTGAATCCTAACATTAAAGAACGTTAATCTGCATAAATGTTTCTTGAATGGCTTATATGGAAAGATCCGTAATATCAAAGTATTGAATTGAGTTCTATCATCATAATGGTAATAATTAATATTGTCTGACCACTTATAAATTAAAAAAAGATATGTTTTAAGATTTGAGACATTTTAAACTTTGTTGATAAATAACTCATTTAAATTAATCTTCTAATTAAAAGTTTTAAAACAGTTTTATTAACTTTTAATTTAACTTCTTTTAACTTTGAAATGTGCTATATATATCATTTTATAGCTTAAAAAACAATAAAATAAATATTTAATTAAAATTTATATTTTTCTTTTTCATTTAAATAAATTTTGATTGTAGTTTAAAAAAATATTGAAAATAATTTAAAAATTAATTTTAATTTATCAGCCATAATTAGGGAAGAAAGTACATGAAATACTAAACAGTAATCCTCAGTAGGAATAAGGTCTTAATGTAAGTTAAAAAATTTAAGAATCTATGTGGAAAGTAATTAATTTATTTCTCAAAAAATATTTGGTTCAAAATTTAATTGCAGAATTTTTTTAAAATCTAATTAAAATCCTTAAATAAAATAGATTTATCATTTTTAAAAGGTATTAATTAAAATATAATAGAATATATTTATTTATTTATCAATCGGCTTTAAAAAATTATTTTAATACTAAAATAAATTATTATTTGTTAAGAATATAAAATTTCAACAAATTATTAATCAGTTATTAAGTTATCTAAGATTTAAATTTTATTTTTAATAAAAGTCCTAAATCATGCACAAGGTAAGCTAGATCAATTAAAGCTAAAATTCTATTTAAGCCATGTCATAATCTTAGATTTATAAGGTAAAAAGCATTTTATAAATTTATGGATTATATTTTTAATTGTTTTTTAAAAATTAGGTTTAAATTTAGAGCTTGCTAAATGACTACTAAAGCATGATAAAATATAGAATTTTTACAGAAGATGAATTGAAAAAAGCAATGCTATTACTATTTAACAATACAAACTATAGTAAGAGCTTTAATCTGATCAACCAAGGAGGGAAAGGAGTTATTATAGGTGCATATAATTTGAAAGATAAAAGAGATTGTGTACTGAAAATATAAAAGGTTCAATCAAAATCTCGTATAATAAAAGAAATTAGCATTCTTAAATGCTGTCAAATGCCTTTAATTGTAAAATTATACAATTCATTTTATCTTGATGTTGCTAAAAAGGAGGATTTCGTAGTCTATGAGTTAGAAAAGTGTGATTGTAAACCATTACTTTTTATTTTAATATAATAGGAAAAGTGTAGTTTAGACAGATTTTTTAAGTACAAATTTTTATAAATTTTTTTTAATCAAGTTGATAAAAAATTTATAAAAATTGGTTCTTAAAAAATCTGTCAAGACTACACTTTTCCTATTATATATTTTATTCTTAATTTTTGTTAAATTAGAATATATTTATTATTTATTTATTGAATAGGTGACCTTAAAGCTTACTTAGAAAAAAAGTAAAATGGTTAGCAATTATCTTAAGAAGTTAAAGAAGAAATTGCTATTTAAATGATGGATTCTGTTAATTACATGCATAAACATAATATCATCCACAGAGATATTAAGCCTTAAAATTTTTTAGTTTAAGAAAGCAATAGCTCTATCCCAGCAATCAAATTAAGTAATTATTCTCTTCATGTTGTTAATTTCTCAATATTTTATTCTAATCACATTAAATTAATTTAATGTTATTTAAACATTTTTTGACTAAATTTTATTTTTATACATTTTAATTAGATTTTATCAATAATAAAAATAATTTTATTATTATATTTGAGTTTTATTTTTCTTTTATTTTTATTCTTAGGTGACTTTGATGAAGCTGATTATTTAAGATTAGATTAAGATTTAGATTACGATCATTTCTTTAATACAGGAGATTGGACTGTAAAAGAATATTTTGCACCTAATTGTGATGGGGTAAAAAATAAAATAAATTTTAAGTAAATATTTATTATTTTGTTATAAGTGTGGAACATTTGGTTATTGGGCACCTGAGTAAATATACTAAAAGTAATCAACAATTGAAGTAAATAAATTAGATTAAAATTTGATTAGATTTGAATGAAATTTAATTTAAATTACTTTAGAGTGATGTATTTAGTCTAGGAATATCTTTATCTTTGTTAGATAACTTTTAAAAATTATAACCTTTATATCATTTTGAAAGTTTAAAAATTGGAAAATATTTTGCGGAAGCTTTTGAACCTTATAATGGCTAATTAGATTTAATTAATAGAAAAACTAAAATTTATTAGAAAGCAATTATGTACTCATTAGTTTATGATAAATACAAAAGAAAAGATTTATCATAAATTTTAGATGATTTCAAATAAAATTATTTTTCTAAAGAGATAAAATAAGTAAAATAATAATCATTTTATGTTTTTCAAATTATTTTAGAATTTTTATTTTTCAATATTTCTAATTTAGTGCTATTATTTAACAAAAATAAGTTTATTTATTTATTTTTATTAAATAATTCGATTAGATTTCTTTAATAAATGATCATGAAATTGCTTAAATTAGTATAAAGTAATTTTTATAACTTTGTATTATTTATTTAATTTTTTAAATTAATATATTTATGAAAGTTGATTATACTTGCCTTAAAATTAGTGTACGACTTATTTTTAAGCATTTTGTATTATATAAATTATAATTAAATTAAAAAAAAACTTTAAAATTGTTTTTTAACTATTTATATTGTAATTTAGTTATAATTGCTATTAATTTTTGATAATTTGATAAAAATTTCTAATCAAATTCAAACAAACAAAAAAACATATTTTAATAATATTTTTGAAGGGATAACAACATTGGTGCAGAAGGAGCAAAACATATTGCAATGAGCTTAGAAAAGTGTCAAAATATCACTTCTTTGAATCTCAATCTTGAGTAATTTTGTTAAATATTTATTTGATTAAGTTTGTTAGTTGAAGTTGTAAAATATGAAAGGAAGTAAAGAAGTAAATAAGTGGTTAATTTGTTAAGCAAAAGATGCTTTTGATTATGAATGAATCAATTCATTCAATCACTCATTTCTTCATTCAAATATCTTCTTTTTTTTTATTTAATTATTTAATTAATTAATTACTTACATACATACTCATCCAGCTACTTATTTATTTTAATTTTCAATTTATTTTATTATGATTTTCAAAACAAATTCAAACAAACAAAAAAACATATTTTAATAATATTTTTGAAGGGGAAATCAAATTGGTGCAGAAGGAGCAAAACATATTGCAATGAGCTTAGAAAAGTGTCAAAATATCACTTCTTTGAATCTCAATCTATGGTAATTTTGTTAAATATTTATTTGATTAAGTTTGTTAGTTGAAGTTGTAAAATATGAAAGGAAGTAAAGAAGTAAATAAGTGGTTAATTTGTTAAGCAAAAGATGCTTTTGATTATGAATGAATCAATTCATTCAATCACTCATTTCTTCATTCAAATATCTTCTTTTTTTTTATTTAATTATTTAATTAATTAATTACTTACATACATACTCATCCAGCTACTTATTTATTTTAATTTTCAATTTATTTTATTATGATTTTCAAAACAAATTAAAACAAACAAAAAAACATATTTTAATAATATTTTTGAAGGGATAACAACATTGGTGCAGAAGGAGCAAAACATATTGCAATGAGCTTAGAAAAGTGTCAAAATATCACTTCTTTGAATCTCAATCTTAGGTAATTTTGTTAAATATTTATTTGATTAAGTTTGTTAGTTGAAGTTGTAAAATATGAAAGGAAGTAAAGAAGTAAATAAGTGGTTAATTTGTTAAGCAAAAGATGCTTTTGATTATGAATGAATCAATTCATTCAATCACTCATTTCTTCATTCAAATATCTTCTTTTTTTTTATTTAATTATTTAATTAATTAATTACTTACATACATACTCATCCAGCTACTTACTTATTTTAATTTTCAATTTATTTTATTATGATTTTCAAAACAAATTCAAACAAACAAAAAAACATATTTTAATAATATTTTTGAAGGGGAAATGAAATTGGTGCATGGAAATGGAAATGGAAATACTCGCACATATAATTTTTTGAAATTGGTGCAGAAGGAGCAAAACATATTGGAATGAGCTTAGAAAAGTGTCAAAATATCACTTCTTTGAATCTCAATCTATGGTAATTTTGTTAAATATTTATTTGATTAAGTTTGTTAGTTGAAGTTGTAAAATATGAAAGGAAGTAAAGAAGTAAATAAGTGGTTAATTTGTTAAGCAAAAGATGCTTTTGATTATGAATGAATCAATTCATTCAATCACTCATTTCTTCATTCAAATATCTTCTTTTTTTTTATTTAATTATTTAATTAATTAATTACTTACATACATACTCATCCAGCTACTTACTTATTTTAATTTTCAATTTATTTTATTATGATTTTCAAAACAAATTCAAACAAACAAAAAAACATATTTTAATAATATTTTTGAAGGTACAACAACATTGGTGCAGAAGGAGCAAAACATATTGCAATGAGCTTAGAAAAGTGTCAAAATATCACTTTTTTCAATTTATATGTGAGGTAGGCTTTTTTTATATAAATATTATATTTTATTTAAGATTTTTTAATTTAAATTATAAAAATAGAAAGGGAAACAATTTGAATGAAAAAGCATTTTTAGATTTAAACTAAATTTCTAATAAGCTTTATTAATTATAAAAACTATAGATTTAATGAATATATTAAAATAAATATTTAACTTTTATGCTAACTAATTAATATGTTATTTAAAATTATTAAAAATTTGTGAAATAATTTTTTATAAAGAGTATTTATTGAAGAAAAAATAAATAAATTTGAACAATATAAAATATAAGATTGACATATTTAATTTTATATTATAATATTTATCAAATTTATTTGCTATTAATTTAATATTTTAAAAATAATTAAAAATCGATTTAATTTAAATTGTAAAGTTTATATTAAACATTTATAAAAACTTGAAATACAATAAAAATATCAGCGAAAATAAAAATAAATTTTATAATTATAAAAACTTTAAAATAATTTCTTAAGCAAGATGATAATATACTTTAGATTTTTTTATATTAAAAATACTAATACTTAAAGTGTTTTTTATATTCAAATCAGAGATGAACAAACATATTACTACCCGCTTATCAATATAGATACCCGTGAAATGCACTACATATCACAATTAAATTAAGGTTTTTTTATTTTTTCTATTTTTGAATCTGTATTTAAAAAATAAAAATGAAAGGTAAAGTCATACTTAAATAATTTAATATTTTGTTAATAATTATAAATTTTTGAATAAAATATTTATTTTCTATATATAAAAAATATCAAGAAAAAGAAGAAGATTAAGATATAAATTAAAGAAGAAAAAGTATTGCTATTTGTAGCAAATTTTTTCTGAAGCTGAGAAGCTACATGTTAATATTAATTAAAAAATAAATTAATTAATTTTTAAATTTTATGTTATTTTATATTAATATATTTATTTATTATTTAATTTAAAATAAATAATTTTAATTTTATTTTATAACAATTAAATAATAAAATATAAATTTAATGTTAATTAATTTTATGTTGTTTTTCCTTTTCTTATTTTATTTAATTAATATTAATTAATTTATATATAAATAAATTGTGAAATCTATCATTATATTCATAATTATTTTTAAATTCATTTTTTGTTTATTTTTTTTATCAACATTTTAACAAATTTCATTGATTAGATACTTACTCTGAAAACAGTTTCCTGTCTGTATTATGATTAATATTTATAAGTATTTTAAAATAAATTACACAGAAAGACAAATGAAGAAATGTATTAATTTTCATAAAACGGAAGATTAAGATTTATCAAAATTATTTTACTTATTTTATTCAGGAATTGTTAAATTATTTAAAATGGAAATCTTTTGATTTTGAAAGGAATGGTCTGAGTTGAAAGACTATTAAAAAGAAAATTCCAAATTAAAATCTTTAGATTAGCAAATAAACAATAATACCATTTTTATCTGCAGACAATTCTCAATCATTCAGAAGGATTTAAACAATTTCTTTTTTGAATCATGACATAATAATATCAATAAAATAAATTTAAATGATGATAAGATTTTGTTGAGATAAGTAATTTTTGATTCATGGCATATTAATTATGAGATTTATGTATAAAAATCACAATAAAGTGCAAATCTCAAAAAATTTCAAATCACAAATCTCTAATCTCAAAATATTTCCAAATTATACTTAGTTAGTTTTTATAAATAATAAAAAAAATTAAAAAGTAAGAAAAAAATTTATTAATCAATATTTAAAATACATAAAATATATAAATATATTGAGTATTTTCTTTTAATTAATTCAATTTTTTTTATTTCTTAAAATACTATTTTTAATTCCTAATTAATTAGATTAATTATCTATCATTTTTTTTCACTTTCTTATCTATTTTCTATTATTTTTCTTTGTAGTTCTAAATAAAATACAGCATCTCCAAATTTATATAAATAATTATTTTTTAAATAAAATAGAGAGAGTATCTTTAAATTAAAAATAAAATAAATAAATAAAAAATATTTTATTATTAATATTATTTTACATTTAGATAGGTATCGAAAAAATGAACAAACATCCTTCATTTTATTCAAAATATCTGCATCTATCCAGTATAAATATACTTATTATCTTTTTATTATTTTAATATTGCATATTGTTCACATTAGCATTTTTTAGGATTCCATCTATGAATCTTAAGATTTGAACTTTTTTAGATTTCCACTTTTTTTTGATTTTTATCAAAGCATATCTCAATTATAAAGATTAAAATCTAATTAATAATAGCGATAAGATGTTTTATAAAAGTATTAATAACACCTGTAGCAGTAAGAAGCACTACTATAACTATCACAAAAATTAACATAAAATTGAAAGAATCTCAACAAAATGCTTTTGAATCAATAAAAAAATAGTAATAGTCAAAAAAATGGAAGTATCGATTTATTTAAGAACTGGTATTATTTATTTTTATTACTGGCTTTACATCTTTCAATTTAATATTATTATATCAAAATTAATTATTAATTAAAATTTTTATTTACCTTAGATTTAATTCCAAATTTTTTTTTAAATTAGAAATAAATTAAACAATTAAATTTGTATTAGAAAATAAATATAAACAATAAAATTTTATTATTATTAGTTCCTTAAAAGCAAAAACCTTAATTTATTGTATTATTTATGCTTAATAAAATAGTTTATTCAAACACAAATTATAAATAAATGAATGAATGAATGAATAAACACCAAAAACCGTAATACAAGGTGGCCATAAATTGTTAATTGACTGAAATTGTTATTTATTTATTTTATTTAGAATTTTTTAATTTGGTGAAAAAATTTAAAAAATAAAAATAGCTGTTTTTTATATAAATATTTCTATATTTGTTTGATAAATTTAAAATTAGATAAAAAGCAAAATAAATAAAAAATTTGTTCTAAAAAATTTATAATTAGGCAACAAATAAAATAGAAATAAATTTAAAAAATGAATATGCGAAATGAAAATTTTTTATAAATGAATTTGAATTAGTTTGAAAAAAAGATTGAAAAAACAAACAAAAAAGTTGATAATTAAATTAACTATGCAAACTAGCTAGCTATAAAACTTTTGGTTTATAAAATTTATTTATTTTATTTAGAATTTTTTAATTTGGTGAAAAAATTTAAAAAATAAAAATAGCTGTTTTTTATATAAATATTTCTATATTTGTTTGATAAATTTAATTTTAGATAAAAAGCAAAATAAATAAAAATTTTGTTCTAAAAAATTGATAATTACACAACAAATAAAATAGAAATAAATTTAAAAAATGAATATGCGAAATGAAAATTTTTTATAAATGAATTTGAATTAGTTTGAAAAAAAGATTGAAAAAACAAACAAAAAAGTTGATAATTAAATTAACTATGCAAACTAGCTAGCTATAAAACTTTTGGTTTATAAAATTTATTTATTTTATTTAGAATTTTTTAATTTGGTGAAAAAATTTAAAAAATAAAAATAGCTGTTTTTTATATAAATATTTCTATATTTGTTTGATAAATTTAATTTTAGATAAAAAGCAAAATAAATAAAAATTTTGTTCTAAAAAATTGATAATTACACAACAAATAAAATAGAAATAAATTTAAAAAATGAATATGCGAAATGAAAATTTTTTATAAATGAATTTGAATTAGTTTGAAAAAAAGATTGAAAAAACAAACAAAAAATTTGATAATTAAATTAACTATGCTAACTAGCTAGCTATAAAACTTTTGGTTTATAAAGAAGATAAATGATACGTTGAAAGTATATTAAATATAAGTAAAAGATTTATTAATTTAGAGAATGAGTTGAAAGAGTGAGCAAGCAGCGAGTTAGTTGCTTCAAATATGTGATAAAACTAAATTGGGATTTTCTTTGAATTCGTTTAATTTTTAATCTAAAATTTAATCAATTTTTCCTTCTAGTCTGAAAATTTCCCAATTTTTAATATTAATTTCTAGCATTTTATATCCTTGTTTAAGGTAGCAAATGTTTCTAAATTAATCCTTAGCTAGTTTTGCTTCTTGTAAATGGTATTTTCCATCTAGTTCAATGATAAGATTAAGTGAGGGAATAAATATATCGCAGTTTCTGTATCCAATAAACTTTTCTACTTCGTATTCAATTTCTTTCTAATTCATATACATCATTAAGTCTGAGTTGAACTCATTTGAGCTAGCATTTGTATCACTTTTTAAACTATTTTTTTTTTTAATAAATATCAAATAAAAAAATTTTTAATTTCAATTTACAATAGCTTTTAATTTTATTAGACATTAGTTTCTACTAATTAGCAAAGTTTTTCATTTGATTTATACAAAATTCCGTAGAGTCTTCTCATTAAAAGTTGAGTTTAAATATCAAGACTGTTGAGATCTTCAACAGTATTTAATTTTTAAGAAATAATTTCATTAAAACTCTAAAATAACTCAGTTTCTTTGAAAAGCTCAATATCTTAAATATCTTATTAGTATAAATATTATTTACTCCACAAATTTTATGTTTGTTTTTAAATGTACAGCAACTGCTCGTTGTACATAAGCTATTTTAATAAATACAAATTAGAAATCTCTTAATAAAATTTTATATTTATTAAATAAATTTTATCAAATAAAACAAAGTAAATTAATTCCTTTATCAAAATAAATATAATAAATTTTTACTTTTATTTAGAATTTTATGTTGTAATTGAATGCTTCTTAATAATATTCAGAAGATTTATCTTTGATGTTATTGCAAATATTTTAAAGCAATTTCTCTCCAAAATTTAAAACTGCAATGCTGTTGAAAAATAGAAGATGAGCCTTAAATGGATTATTGTAAGGTACAACTTGAGCCAAATTGGTTTCTAATTTTTCAACTAATTCTAAATTCAAATCCTCTTAGTGATGCTTAATAACCTAAATAATTTATTTACAAAAAAAATTCAGCTTTAAAAATAAGAAAAAAGATTCTTCTATATTATAATAAATTTTAAATAAATAAATGTATTTAAATCTATAATTAATTACTTAAATCATTTGTAAGATAAATTTTGGTTTCTTAACTAAATTGTCTTAGGATTCATTGGTTTGTTTGCTTTCTTCTTCGTTGATCAATTCTAAAACGCGCTTTTAAAGAGCAACTGTAAATGACTTAAATGGGATATGACTCTTTGGACTGTGCTAGCTCAATTTATTGATTGACTCAGCCATGTCCAATATAAAATATGAACCTATATTCTGTATTTTTTCTTTTAAGATATCTGATATCTACTCATTTATATAATCCATATCTCTAAATGATAAATGTTGAAGAAGTTTAGGGAATTCTTTTATGGTATAAACTGCTCTCCATGGTTTAATTAACTTAAATTCGCTGTCTGGTATGCTGAGAATGATCTATTTTATAAACAAAGCAAACTTCTGCTGTAAACCTACTTAAATGATGTTAATCACAATGTCAAGTTTTTAGTTGGCCTACATTTTTAGAATCTATTCTTGCAGAAGACATTAAATACTGTACTAAATTAAGTCAGATAAATCATTTTCAGTCAAATCCATCAAAGTTCTCACTATTGATTTGTACTAATCGTTTTCTAAGAATGAACTCTAATAAAAGTGGTGAATGTGATAGCCTTATTCAATCTTTATGTTCATTTTAAGCATATATGCTATAAACATCAAGCAGTTTATTTTATAAACCTAATTAGAATTATAATCACTTGAGTGAAGTGCTATTAAGTTTTCTTAAAGCTTCTTGTTGTCTCTTTTGCGGTTACTTTCAGGTAACTTTTATTGTTGTCTTTCATTTTTATTCTCTGCTGAATTACCTGGAAAATGCTTTCTCTTGACAAAGGCTATTATGATATTCTTTTCTTGCTTAAATTTAAAATCGAATTCATTCTCCTTAATAAGACTATTTTTCATCTAACTCATAAAATAGTTGTTCTTCTCATAATCCTACTTTTGGTTCTTCAAGTAATTGTAGCTAGCCAAATACGTAAGACTTTGACTGCCAGATTTTAAAACAGATTTGCATAATTTATGCTTGCTTTAGAGCAAATTATGTGCTAACTTTGACAACATTCTAATTAATTATTTAAAATATCTTTAATTTTTTCTACTTAATTAATAAATTTGTTTGAAAATTGAAGTAAATGCAAATTGTTAATAAAATTGGATCAATCCGTTTAGATTAATTTTCATTCTATTAATTACAGAAACTCCTAGAAAAAAATAACCCTAAGAATGAACAATCAATCAATCATCATCAATATATCTAAATATTTTAGTCATTATTCATTATTTACCACTGGTAGAAATAACTAATTAAGTCTTTTATATAAATATTTATTAAGACTATTTATTATTTTTCTATTCTTAAATATTTATTTGTAATTATTTTTTTATTTTTAAATAAATTATCATTTTATTTTATAAAATCTAAATAAATTTCTTAAAAAATTATTTTTTAATTCTATTTAATTTTTATAAAGTATTTTTATTTTATTCTATTAATCTTATTTATTTATTTATTATTTTAATGAATTTAAATCCAATACTAAATAAAATTAAAGTATTTATATTTAAACATAAATTTAATTTCATTTTTATTAAATATTTCATTCATTTTTATCTTCTATCTAAAATTATTAAGATTATTTTTTTTATTATTTTTCTATTCTTACTTAAAAATCTATTTTTTATTTATTTATTTTAAAATAATAAAACCAAAATAAATTTCCTTATAAATTATTTATTTTATTTTTTTTTTATTATTTTTCTATTCTTACTTAAAAATCTATTTAATTATTTATTTATTTTAAAATAATAAAACCAAAATAAATTTCCTTATAAATTATTTATTTTATTTTTTTTTTATTATTTTTCTATTCTTACTTAAAAATCTATTTTTTATTTATTTATTTTAAAATAATAAAACCAAAATAAATTTCCTTATAAATTATTTATTTTATTTTTTTTTTATTATTTTTCTATTCTTACTTAAAAATCTATTTAATTATTTATTTATTTTAAAATAATAAAACCAAAATAAATTTCCTTATAAATTATTTATTTTATTTTTTTTTTATTATTTTTCTATTCTTACTTAAAAATCTATTTAATTATTTATTTATTTTAAAATAATAAAACCAAAATAAATTTCCTTATAAATTATTTATTTTATTTTTTTTTTATTATTTATCTATTCTTACTTAAAAATCTATTTAATTATTTATTTATTTTAAAATAATAAAATTAAAGTAAATTTCCTTATAAATTATTTATTTTATTTTACAAAGTATTTTTATTTAATTCTATTAATCTTATTTATTTATTATTTTAATGAATTTAAATCTAATACTAAATAGAATTAAAGTATTTATATTTAAACATAAATTTATTTTCATTTTTATTAAATATTTCATTCATTTTAATCTTTTATATAAAATTATTAAGATTATTTTTTTTATTATTTTTCTATTATTACTTAAAAATCTATTTATTTATTTTAAAACAATAAAAGCAAAATAAATTTCCTATTTATTTTATTTTATTTTTACAAATTATTTTTATTTAATTCTATTAATATTATTTATTTATTATTTTAATGAATTTAAATCTAATAATAAATAAAATAAAAGTAATTATATTTAAAGATAAATTTTTACATATAAAATATTTATTTTTATTAAATATTTCATTTTAATCTTCTATTTAGAATTATGAAGGATATTTTTTTATTTTTTTTCTATTCTTACTTAAAAATCTATTTAATTATTTATTTATTTTAAAATAATTTATTTATCGTTTATAAAACCATAATAAATTTATTTTTAAATTATTTTTTTAATTTTATTTAATTTTTTTTATAAAGTATTTTTATTTTTTTTATCTTATTATTTTAATGAGTTTAAATGCAATACTAAAATTAAAGCATTTACATTTAATGATAAATTTTTACATATAAAATATTTATTTTTATTAAATATTTAATTTTAATATCCTATCTAAATAAATTTGTGGAGGTTATTTTTATTACTATTTTTCTCTTCTTACTTAAAAATCTTTTAATTATTTTTTTATTTATTGATTTATATTAAAATAATTTATCATTTATAAAACCAAAATAAATTTCTTTATAAATTATTTTTTTTATTTTATTAAATTTTCATAAAGTATTATTATTTTAATGAATTTAAATGCAATACTAAAATTAAAGTATTTATATTTAAAGATAAATATATTTTTATTAATCTTCTATCTTCATTTGTGAAGGTTATTTATTTTGTTTTGTTATTTTTTTAATTTATTTATTTTTAAATAATTTTGTCATTTGATTTTATTTAAAATTAAAATAAATATCTTATAAAATTATTTTTTGAAATGAAATTAAATAAACTTTTTAGAAAGATTTTATTATTTTAATGAATTTAAATACAATAGTAAAATTAAATAAAGTATTTAAAGATAATGTTTTTATTTAGAAATATTATATTAATTTTAATTTTAATAAAAAATTGTGAAGGTTATTTTGTTTTGTTATTTATCTATTATTTATTACTCAAAAATCTTTGTAATTAAATATTCATTTATTTTAAAGAGATTCATAATTTGATTTAATAAAATAATCTTTATTAACTTTTTACAAATATTTAATATTAATCTTATTATTTTTATGAATATAAATAAGTGAGTTATAAAATTAAAATTAAGATATTTATATTTAAAGATACATTTGTTTTTCCAACTAAAATATTTTAAAAAATATTAATTTTTATTGTATTTCTACTTTTTTTACAAATACCGTAATCCCTCGATAAGAGCGACGAGCCGAATGCCGAGGTAGTAAGTACACAAATCTTTAAGGAAATTTTTAGATTTTTAATGGATTTCACTTTCAATTCAATAATTTTTAAAAAAATTTAATAAATAAAAAAACTATTATAACAATAGAAAAATTAATAATAAATTTTAAACTTAATTTATAAAATAATAAGAGAAGACTTTAAAGGCTAAATTAAAAAAATTATTATTTATTAAAATTAATTAATATCTTTTGCATAAATTAAATCCTTGTTTCTCAGAGTTCGCTAGAATTTAAATCATGGAAATGGAAGCGCTATAAATAGTAAAAATAAATAAATAATGAATTAATCAGGTTTCAAATCAATAAACAAAACAAATCAAAAAGAAATCAATTATGATTTTGAGTGATAAATTTTATACTTTAATACTGACTCTTTTTTTAATAATTGGTATGAAATATTTACTCAAACTATCTTTAGCCTATTTAAGAGTAAATTAAAAGAAATAAATTATAAAAAAATTGATGTTTCCTTTAAATTAATTGTAAACCAAGGTTAGTTATATTAATATTACTTTATTTTAAAAATTTGTGGTAAAGAGCTATTTAAATCAATAAACAATACAAATCGAAAAAGATATTCATTAATTAATTATAATTTTGAGAGATAAATTTTATATTTAAATACTGACTGTTTTTTTAATGGTTTAAATTAAATATAAAAAAAATTGATATTTCCTTTGAAAAAATTGTAAATCAAGATTAGTTACATTCATACTACTTTATCTGATAAATAGCGAGATAAAGACCTATTTAAAATCAATAAACAAAACTAATCAAAAAGAAATTAATTGAAATTTAGCATTTCTACAAAAGAATTCTCTGAAAAGTACTTCATTTTGTTTTAAAAAGCTAAAAGATTAAATTAGTTAAGACCAGTAATTAGTTTTCATTGAGCTTATCAACATTTTTTACCAAAATGTTAATATTTTGTAAGGATTATCTTTCTTTTTATTTAACACATTCAATTAAAAATTTAATATAATTATTAATAGGTATTTTGCTCGCTTTAAGAATAGTCTAAGCATAGGATTGCTCATTCCTTCTCTCATAAATTTAACCAAGTACTTAACCTTTAGGTAAATTTGAATTTCTAAAAATTATAAACATAACCATCAAAATTTAAATAAAACTAAGGCTACGAGTGCATAATGAGTTCATCTACAACGTTCGATTCTAATTACGTTTAAAATAAAAATGCATTTACTTTAAGGTCAAATGATTAATAGAACAATTACGACATTGTATATTCTAATATTAGATAACCTACATGTGCGAATCTTATTTAATCAAACTATCAAAAATTTAATGGAATAAACTTAGAGATTGATAGAGATAACAATGCTTAGTATATATAAAATATATATATAAGCTTTGATTTATATAGCAACTAAATACCTTATTGGTTTTTAATTTATTCAGCTTGGAAAAAAGATGACTAATACACTTAGCTTTATAAATCTTAAGATTTTTCCTCAGCATAAAAGGATTAGTGTGGGTTATTCAAAATGAGTTTATTTGAAAATATGGATTTGACTTACAAACCAGTTAAATTTAGTTCAACTTCGATTAGTTTTAGTACCTTTGCTTAAAGCAGTAGCTATCTTTTAACTTAAATATCAAATTTGTAGGTTCTCTTTTACTATGAAGTAAATTTTAGTTATTTGTTTTACTTTCCAAACTATTTTTACTTTTACTCATTTTTTTTAACATAAATGCTAAAAAAGTTTCAGCTTATGATTTTATTCAGAACTTTATAAGTTAATTTTTGTATTTTTTAAAATAAAATTAAGTTATTTTTATTGTAATTTTGAACAATTTAGTTTTATTTTTTAGCCATTTTAATAACCACAAAGTTATTTAATTATAAATTGGAATATATGATTAAGTCTTTCGTTTTTAGATTTAATGATTTTGTTTTATATTATTTAATAGTGTCCAATTGGCTGCAAGGGTTCTTGTCCTTAAAGGAATTGCCAAGATTGCTAAAGTGGCTACAATCTTAAAAATGGAAAATGCGTATTATAATGCGCTTAAAGCTAATACATTTAATAAGATTAATCTTCTAAATAATCTTGCTTACCCTGCATTTCTAATTGCAATTAATGCGCTGATGGGAATACTTGTATAACTTGTGCTAATGGTTTTACCTACGCTTTCGTTAACGGCTAAAATATGTGTTATCCATCGTGTAGCTAATCTAACCAGTATATTGATA